CGGCACTTGGGGTCTGGCATTAGCAAGTTGAGGATCTTCTGCAAGTTATGCTGCGGATCCTTCGGGAAATGGCTGGGGGCTGAGCGGCTCACTGCCTTGCTGGTGCTATAGGAAGGGAATGTGGGAAATAACCCAGGGATTCCCGTAACGGACACCATAGGGGATGGCTTGTAGGGGTCATTCCCTCATTTTCTTGCTGAGAACCAGCAAGTAGGTCTAAGTAGGTGCCCTTTCGGCTGAGAATAGAGGGCCCTAGATGAAACAACCAGGTCAACCAGGAATCCCCATCGATTTTTAATACCCTTGACCAAGTTCAAAAGGAGCCAGGACAAAAACCGACCCTGGCGGGCGCCCTTTGTTTGAATAGGTGGGTCGCAAGACTCCGTTGTTTGAGTTGGATTAAACCTCCCCGTGGTTTCGGAACGAAACGCCCCCATGGCTAGTTGAAATCCTCTGCTGCCAATTGGGTTGCTCCAATGCTCCGTGTATTTGCTGAGTGTGGCAAACTATGTGTTACACACAATAGAGCACAGAACATGTGAAATACATCTAATAGATGTTAGAACGCTTCGAGGTCTGTGTATTTGTTGAGTGTGGAAAATACAACTTGCGTAAATCTACTAGAACACAGAACGTGTTTAAAGCCAGTGTGAAAACTAGCGAAGTGTTTACCTTTCCGCCAATTGGCATTGAACCTGCCTGCTTTCGTTAAAGGGTGCCCTTTGGATATTAGGTGAAAGGGCAAATAAACAAAAACAGCTGCCCACGGATACCAACTAAAAATACACTCCGGCATTCCAGCTGCCAAAAATACATCGAGAATGAACCCGCAACGTTCCGGGGACATCTGTTGGGACGGGTGGGTCCACCTGAGCGTTCAAAACCCGTTGACTTTGGGTAAGATGGTTATAAAGTATTCTTCCATTTGCTTGAGCCCCCTGGAAACAAATCTCAGATTAAATTTAAAGCTAAAAAGGGAACATATAACATATTCTTAAGCAAACGGAAGTCTTGTTTAGGCCTTCCTACACTCAAAGCAGGTAGCGCAACCGCCTAACATGGCCAATGTACCTTTTAGACGCTGCTCACCTCTCTTAGGCTCCGATTTGATTCACGTCCAAAGCATTGAGAAAAATGGAACGCCCTCGAAAGACACCACGCACGTTCATGATTGCTGCTGTTCAAGGGGAACCCAGGGCGAATACTTGGGTACAACCAAAAGGACAGCCGCTACAAAGCAACACCTCTGCTGGCAAAGCAGCCGGCTGCGGCAATGCTTCAAAGCACAGGAAGCTGATCAAGTATATGCTTACTTCGGTGGATGGAACATAGATCATAATTGAAAGGGGAACCAGGGATTAATACCCCCCTGGTCCCGATTAATAGCCCCCCTTGAAAAAAAGACTTCGCTTCAGACGGAACACCGCCGTTGAATCCGTGTTCTACTCAAAATCTAGGTCGGCAAAAAGAAGGATGGGGAAATTGCGGAGATGAGTGCTAAAGATTCAGAAGCCCGTCATATTGATAGGGGTTTGGGGGGGGGCGTTCCCCAGTGATGAATCCCCACTGAGGGCCATGAAAGTGAGACCGACGCCTTGTCCAGCATAGCGCGCAGTAGCCTGCAAGGCTAAACGAAGCACAACGAGGATATGAGTCCCAACGAGAAAAATGTTTGCCAGAGGCACAAACGAACAAGCAAGCAAACAAACAGAAGCCCCACAAAGTAATTCATGGACATTTGTGTGACACAAAACATTTGTCCATTCCGACAGAGATCATCTCAAGTTCCTCTGTGATGGAGCATCTTTTCTGCGGTCAGTTCCTCAGTTTCGGACCTACCTCGTGACCCCCTCTGGGCTGGATGAAGCCAATGCAACCCTTAAATATCTGAAACCAACTCTCCTTTGGGGTACATGGCTATGGGCTCAGACATGTATACACGAGCCTTGACCGCAAGTGAAATTCTGGGTTGCCAGCTCAATTTGCCGGGCAATCTTTTCTCGGTTGGTGTTGGACCCCGTGGAACAAGCTCTTGGTGTTGCTGGTTGGTGGGGATTGTGTCAGGTTCCAAAAGCTCAAAATGATACATCGCCCAGAAGAGATATTTCTGCCACCAAATGAGCGTCCGGATGCCCTTTGCCGAGCGAGCTAGCACTTTAAACTTACAAGGCCGTTTTAGCTTACGCAAGCCGCCAACGTGCAAGAAAACGTGAATGACTCTGGAAGTTGATGAACAGTGCATTCAGGGGGAGCAACTTTCAGGATCTTCACTTTGTAGCGTTCTTGCTCATCGCTTCGGATTTGGCCGGCAATTTTGAGTCCAGAGTTCGCGCTGCTTCCACTGCAGATTGCAAGCGCCCCGAAGCAGAGCGGAAACGCCGGCGCGCGTCTTTCCCCCCAAAAGTGGTCACGCCGGCTTACGCAATGTAATTAGGGCAACTCCTGCTACAAGTTTAACTTGTGGGCTAAATGGACCCCCCCCCCACTGAACACTGAAACCCTAAGAAGCTAAAACGCTAAGGAACCGGATGGCTGGGAGCCACCAAGATGACTCAACATGACCCAACTCTTGCTTGGCAGGAAACGGCTCCCTTTCGAGCTGCGCTGGATGTTTTTTCTCCCTACCAACTCGGGGATCAATGCGGGGAACCTTCACTACCCCAGGCTCCGGCCTTGAATGGGTTTGGGTGCGAAATCCCGACACCGGCCAGCGGGAAGCTGACAAAGGGTGCAGGAAGAAATGAGCCGCGCAGGTCGGAACAAGAGTGAAAAAGGCAAATACTGTCTTTTTAGGGGTGCCAACAGCCACAAGTCACGACACATCGTTTGGGCCCTAAGGACACAATGCTCAAAGTCGGGGACCCGACTAAGTGGCTGGCTTCCCCTTCTGATTTCTATATCCCAAGAGGTCACAGCGAGCCTCCTCAAGCCTTTGGGATTGTGCTTCGCCAGTGCGACAGTGGCCAGCAGAGCGTTGGGGCCTCGCATTGTCCGAGGGAGCGAAAAAGGAAGGCGGAGGCAAATGGACCCAGGAATTCATTTTTGAGTTTTCTCCCAGGTAGACGTTGCCAGGGGTGGTTGATTTCCACAACAGGGCAACTCTGATTTGGAAAGACACAAATCAGTGTTGCCTGGGATCTTCCGCCCCAGGGAGATGCACGTGGGCATGGACAAGATTGTGCGAGAAAAAGGTCCCTCCGGTTTTAGTGCTGTTCAAAACGGAGGAATAGGGTCAGGGCGCACTGTTTAACTGGAGGGCCAATTGGCAGATGTCTCATGTTTCCAACTACAAATGCATGGAAGGATCTGGTCATCAAGGGTTCCAAGCGACTCATCCCAATATCTAAGCTGTCCGGTCGTCGTACGAAGGGGTTCGCTCTGGGACCCCAAGATTATGATGACCATTTGGGGACCCCAAGTTTTGGTGTCAAAACTCTGTGCCGCCCCTTTCGGGACCTTGTGCCGCCAACTGCCCCTTGTGGCAAGCCCACACCAGGCCCGAACCGCAACCGCCTCCGAAACATCTGGCCCGGGAAACTCCAGGTGAAGTGGCTGTGACCCCAACATGCCTACTTGCTAAGCACGCCAACCATCTGGTCAAAGGTGAATATCATGGGGGTAAAATGGAAACCCAACCAAAAAACCAACTGAAAAGATCTCGAAAGTTATAAGGAACCGGATGGCCGGGAGCCCGGAAATCTGCGGCTTTCCGGGCTGAGCAACCAGAGCCTAGCGCTTCTCCTCTCACTCGGCTCGCGCGCGCGCGAGCGCGCGCGAAAGCGCACCTCCGTTGGGCTCGAACAGAGTCGGCGCCTAAGCGACGGGGAATCAGAGTCTGGAAAGAAGGTCCCACTTCGTTTTTCGCCCAAGTCCGGTTCCTTCAGAATCTGTTTCACCCTGAGTCAGGCCCTGAGCAAGGAACTCTTCAAATGGAAGGACCTGGATCGCGTTTTTTGTTGTTGCGCCTTTGCAACGGGATGGTCTTCCAAAGCCCTGTGCACTTCCATTGGGCCGAGGGACCTGTACCTTGGGGTCACCCAAGCTTTCCAAGTTCCATTTGGGGGAGGGTGAGCTGATGCTTTGGATCAGGCGTGCAACATTGGCCGACACATGACTGAAATTGGTCGCATGACGACAAAGCATTCTTCTAGGGGTAGCTTCCCCATTCTTTCCAGGGATCCTTCTTTCCAGAAAACTACCAAAAGCCCTGGGGAAACAGCTGGTTATTGAAAAGGACGATGGTTGAAAAGAATGGAAAGTCAACCCCTAGAATTCTTAGCCTTTCTGGGTAACACCTCACCCTCGGTGTTGCCATGCTTCATGAACCTCACCAGCCTGCGACTGCTAAGCCCTTCCCCTCAAAAATGCAGTCTCTAGCCAACTTACTCGAATTCACATATTGAAGTACTCTGAGTGTACTATGCACGTCCAATATGGAACTTCCTCTAGCCAAATATGCAGTACACTAAGGAATTCAGTCCCGCAACGCATCTTCGCGCCTATGCGACTTGGCACAATGTGATTTGTTCAGACTCGATGCGCGGACGCGGCGGATTCCTTACAGCGGATTCCCGTGGCCCACATACAACTTGCTGGTGCGATAGGGAATGTGGGAACGAACCCAGGGATCTCCTTAAAGGAAACCAGAGGGGATGGTTTATAGGGGTCATTCCCTCATTCCCTAACCAACAGCAAGACAAAAAACGGAGTTGAGGTAACAATAACCTACAAGCACCCTAAACCTGAGTAATCGTGCATCCGCCGTACCTCTCTCTGCGGACAGCTCAAGATCTGAGACTCCTGAGGCTGGTGACCTTTTTCTTGCCACTCAAATAATCCTTGCCAACAATGAAGTACACAAACTGGACGTTTCAGAGCAACCTGGCCAACGTCAACCACAACTCTGGCTCTATTTTGATGGCTTTCCCACAAAGCCACAAGCCGCGACTGAAGCCATAAAAAGACATTCAGTCGTGGGAACTAGGCGACTCAGATCTCTCTCACGAGTTCCGGGGCGGCGGGTACTCACCTTGGTTGAGGCGAAAGCGCACTTCCACAAGAAGACCCATGGTTCGCTTTTAAACATCGCCCGCCACAAAGGAAACTCCAAAAGGTCAAGGTGATTTGTAATCCAACCCAAAGGGGACACAGTGGGAGCCTTGTTCCAGTGATGGAACCCCTCCGGTTTACTCGAACAAGCAAGCCCTGGTCGCTTGGCCGCCAAAGGAATCTTAAGATGTGTTTATCAGTCTGGAATGTCGCTGACCGCATGCCAAGACGTAGGTGACGCCAGACATGCAACTAGCGCCAACTTCAAAGTTAATTGGACCATTCGTGCCACTGGAGGAATAGACTGACCCCTGCTGGGTCCATCTTGGCTGCTTGTTCTGCGGGCCAGTTCACCCCTTCGTTTAAACCTAGGCTCTTGTTACAAAAAACAAAAAAATCTGCGAAAGGAAATGGGAGGTTACCATGACCATCAGCCAACAACGGGGAAAGTAGCCAGCTTGCCCTCCTAATCCAATTGGATTGTAAGACCTAGGCTTTGCTTTGTTGGGTTGATTGAACCTACCTCTTGATTCTTGGAGGGGATGTTTTAAGCACAATATTGATTCTTGGAGGGGGCTCCGCGTGTTCTTAGAGCTCAAATGATGCCAGTAAACTCCTAACTCCTCCTACTCTTTGATGGGGTATCTTTTGGTCTCCCATTCAACCCGCCCAAACAGCGGCCGTGTTTTCCAGCGCATTTTGAGGCCGACCCATTTCCTTTGAGGAACTTCCGATCGATGGCCAAAAGTGTCTATTTAGGCCAAAAGAGCATCCCCAAGAGGTAGAAAGCGTCTACCTTTTGGGCAAATAGATGGGTTTCCCTGGTAAATAGCTTCTAAGCCCCATCCGTCCAACGCTTTGCCGCGGCGCCCACGGTGAGCTTCTCCTCGAGGCTTCGCGCTGCCAGGCGCAGCGCGAAGCCCAGCGAGGCGGCGAAGGCGAAAGCCGCGTGTCCGTCCAGCGCGGCGCCGAGCAGCCTGGGTTCGGGGAGTGAGGGTGGCGGGGGTGGTGGGGCGAGCGCCAAAATTGTTGGTCTGGGGGTGAAAAAGGGGGGAAACATTGGGGACATTGGCGTTGGTCTTGGGGGTCAAAAGCCCGAAAAAGGGGGATTCATGGGGAAATTTGGGCTTACCAAATGGGATACATACAGGCATGAGAAAAACATTCAGACAAACAAACAAACAAACAACAAACACACGCCCACACACACAAACACGCGCGCAAACTGTGAGTAAACAAACACCCAATTGTAATTTCATGCAATCAAGATTAGCTTGTCAGATGGGCTAGAATATGCTAGACTGTGTTCAACATGATGTTATTATAGAACTGGGTTCTCCAAATGGGATGTCCACAACCGGGGCTGCAACCAGTGGCAGACACGCAGACACAACGGGTGCTAGGAAACCCCCAAACTCATCCCCAGCATCGACTGTTGCTCATTTGGGTGTCTTACTTTCTTTGGGGCCGCCTCTTTGCAAGGAGAACCAAAAGGAACCCTTCCAATTTTGGGTGGTTCAGCTTTGAGATAAACAAACATGTGTCTGTTTGCCTCAAAACTGAACCACCCCCCAAAAATAATGGCAGGTTTCCTTTTTGATGCGTCAATCCCTTGAGGAATCCGTCGCTCCCTCCCGGCCGCATTCCCCCCTACGCGGACGGGCGCGTCAGCCGCAACCGGATCTGAGCCCCTGGCCCCAGCAGCACCGCCGCCTCCGCCGGAGCCTGCGCCCCGCGCGCCAAAGCTAAAGCCTGGGAGCAGCTGGCGCAGTGCTCCGTGTGCCTCGGGTCGGCGTCAGGCGCGAGATCCGGCGAGCGGCAGCCTCCCCCGAGGTGGTGGTGTGCCCGGTTGGGATAAGGCGACCTTTCCCCACGTAAGTTTCAAAAGGAACTGGGGGGTCAAACCCCAAACAACCAAACCAACAACTAAGCGGAGCTGAAGGGGGGTGAGACACACAACGGCTGGGAAGTGGTTTTTGCACAGCGAAGAACCAAGCGAGCCAAAAGGGAAGCCCAGCTTTTGCAGGAAAGTCGAGAACCAGAAGTGGAAAAACAAAAAGGAAGCTTCTTTGGTTGACTTTGGGAAAAGAAAGCGGGGGCCCAGTCTGGGAGTCTGATTTGGGTCAAACGACACCGCAAAGGGTTGCATGAGGGCTTTTCAACTATCGTTCTTTTCAAGCAGGCTTTTTGCTTGTGGGAAAAGTATCCCTGAAATAACTAGGACGCTCCTCCTAGAAACCACAAACAAGTGGTCAAATGCAGCCAAAAAATAGACAGATCAGGGAGGTGGACAATTACACCAAGACAACACCGAAACATACGCCAAAATAAATACTTCAATCGAACTTGTCAAAAGCCCCCCACGAGTACCATGAACGAGTACCTCCAGAAGTGGGCCATCCATATGACTGCAACAAAAACCCAAAGGGATTTCCTGGGTATGACAGAAACTGCACCACAACCATGCCAGGTAGTTGATTACTTGTGTTTTATTCCAGTCCCAAAGTACCTCAACTCCGCACATTCTGGTCACTTGGGCCGCCTTGGGCCCAGTCCAGCCGCAAAAACACACTAGGTTCCGGCTGGGACTGCCCTAATCCGTGGCGGGTGATCGCCTCTAAACCCCCGAACTGCATGGTCCCAACACCAACGCGTAAATGTGTGTGTATGTCCAAAGGAGGAAGAATGGTATCCTCTAAAAATGCCACCTGCCACATGTCGACCCTTGATTCATCAACCCCCTTTCATTGATCATCGGGGTTTCAGTTTGTCAGGATTCCTTTCTTCCAGGGGGACACTGTTTGGGGATGTTAATCAAGGGTCAACAGTACTACATCACGCTGCCGTTCGTCTCTGTTGGGACTCTCGACGCAACAACACATCCGATGTATCCGCCAACCCCGTCTTGCCAAAAGGGGATGCGCACGGGAAGGCTGGCAACAAAACAAAATCATGACCATCAAGCACATCTTGGTTTGAACTGATCACCATATCATCTGTATGAGTAAGCCTGAGTAAGCCTGGCTCAAATACCGGGTGCATAAGAGACCCTGCTGATGACCTTTTAATTATCGTTCTATCTTCAATATTCAAAAGTGCTGTTGGACCTCGGTGGTGACGCTGGACACTTGAGAAGACGACCTCTTTCGCGCGTTTTGTCCGATGCTTGGGAGTACAGGGAGCGCCGGACATGCCCCAGCATCTAAGTTTTAAGAAAGGAGATGTTTTCAGATGAAACTACCCTCCTACCAATTGACATGGAGCCTGACGGGTCCTGGTTTGGACCATTTTCCTTTCCAAGGGACCGGGTCCCTGGCAGGTTCCATGGTAATGGACAGGAGGCTATATTCTCGAGATAAACAGGTCGACACCTCCAGCATCTCTACACTTGCAGTGGATGCATGGATGCATGTATGAATGCTGGGATGCGTGTATGCATGCAATGTATGCATGTACCCATGTACGCATTATGCATGGTATGCAAATATTTTAATATGCATGTTGTTGTTATGCTATCAAACACGTGTTCGGAGTGGGGTCGGCGGCGCCGGCGGCACAAAGCGGCAGCCCTTAGATAGATGGAACTAGTAAACGCTGGCAATGATTCAAACCAACTGAAACCAGTGCCGAAACACCCCAACCGACCCAACAAAAAGCACGTAGTAGTGTGGATGGACGAACTCCTGCACAACCTAAGAAACCCTGGAATACTGATTCCCTTGTAAATACCAACAAACAATGGCTTCCCATGGTGCCCAAGTGGTGCGAAATGGATTTCCTCCATCCACAGTAGGACAGAACCCAATTGACGAACCCTGGGCCAAGTTGCGACCTCAGCCTCTCCACAAGCTGCGCACGCGTCAGCATCCCACCTGGGACTGTTCCACTGCCCGCGCGGACACAGGTTCCGTTGCGGCGTAGCCAGTCGCGATAGGCCAGCACTGCCGCGTCTGAGGTGCTTGGCGTGTAAGTGGGAAGCTCCTGTGGAAACTTTCACACGAGGTACGACCTATGGCCATGATCCATGGATTACGAGGGGGTGCAGTCACAAGTGTTCGACTAACTCTAGCAATTTCCACAGCGTCCATAAATGGACAAAGCGGAGATGCCGCGAATGCCATCTAATGCCACCCCTGCGGCCCTTGCCAATGACAGCACCCCCCAGCCCCGTCCTCCGATTTCATTGATTTGCCCTGGTAATGCAGGAAAACGTTGTCATCCTGCCGAAACGGTCGCTCGTTTGGCTCCCTTTTCTTGAATCCCCAGGCAAAAATACACATATTTCCAGCAGTGAGAGATTATCTTTAAAACCAACAGGGGACAACAACCACATATAGCCATGGGTCCAAAGCCCGTACCCCCAGAGAACATCCCAATCCCCACTAACATAGACTAAGATGGGTGGTGCACCTACCCCAAAATGCCACCATTGGTTTTGACCCACAGCCATATTCTTCAGCAAATGGCATTCCCGGGCACCTGTTCGTATGGCCATCTCCGCTGTCCTCCAGCACGCGATGGTTGGAGAGGTGCGTGAAGAAGGCTGGTAGTTGATCGGAGAAGGCGTACTGGAAGACCAGCCGCAAAGGCATCGGAACTTTTGACACCTGTTCAAGCCGTCTCCCGTCTCAAAGGAGTGAGGCATCCCAACGCATCGAAAAGAAACAGTCTGCAAATCAAGAACAACAAATAGTAAGCATCAAACAAATACTCATTGGGCACCATATTGCTGCAGCACGCAGCAAACAGCCTTAAAACCGCACGTGCTCCAATATAAAAAACAACAAATACACCAACACAATAAATTACACGAAAGCAAAAGGATAATTTCTAGGAACTCATCAGCCAAACAAATTGGAAAATGGACAGAGAAAGGTTCGTTGGCATTTCGGTCACACCAACAAACAAACACATGTTGCTCTTCGGCATCTGTCTTGGAAATACCGAAAAGGCTAAGCCCCGGAGTTCCAGAAGACAACACACCCACAAGAACAGAGGATGCTTCGCTTTCTCGATGTCCCCTTTGCTCTTGTGATCTTGTCAGCTGAATATGTGTTTCTAGTGACCATTGTTTGAATGGGTTGCTCCCTTCCCGACCACTTTGTCAATGGGCTTCTATGAGGGTGTTTGCTGGGTTTCTGCATGCTCCCCATGACTTTCATCACCCTCCATTTCGGTGTCCTTCTCTTGTGGGAGGCCCTCTTTTTGGTTGGTTTGAACATGAGACCAACCAAACAAACACGCATCTTGCCCCCCCCCCCCCGATTTTTTCTGGACACAGCCATTCGCCTCGAAGACCACCCGCACAAAGACCCGGCAGCTGTCCTCCGCCAGCGGCGTGCCATAGACGAGGTTCCAATCCCGAAAGCTCTCCGGGCGCTGCGTCAAGGCCCAGACGTGGTTGGGCGCAAAGAAGGCCAAGCCCCCGCCCGGCGACGTCGACCTGAACCAAGCGACACGCGTCTTGAAGAATCTGGACGCTTCAAACCATGCAAAGACGCGTCGGCCGTTTCTGTGGCTGCGATTTTGAGGCTACCCTCCTTTGGGACTGTTGGGAAAATTTGTGTGGGCCTTTCAAGAATGAGGCTCTCGTATGGGTAACACTGGATTCCTCTGAGTTGCCCTTGGTCACACCAGACTGCCAATAAGTGCTTTGGACGATCATGTCAGTGAGCCTCAAGCACCTTGGCCCCAAAAGGAAGGCTGGCTTCCCAAGAAGCCGAAACCACCACGCCACGGTGGGTGTCGAACACCCAGCAGCAGGGCGGTGTCCTCTTGCTCCACGACAACAGTAAAGGCTGTTTTCGTTTGGGGTCACCCAAAAAAAGACACAAACACACCCACTACTGTCGACCCCCGGAAACTTCACCTGTCTTGTAGTTTTGGGCGACCCGTTTTTTGGCTCCATGTGAAAAACGCAGGACCCTGGCGACCCAAACCGGCGACCCGAGCGAACGAGTGCACATGTTTGTGGAAAATCACCCTTCCGGTGAAACCATTGGGTCCCTTCCCATGAGTCGATTGCCTTGTTATCACAAAACATCAGCACCATTAAACCCCATGTCCCAAAATGGTGGACCCCTGCTTGGGTGGCTTTCCTTTGGGAAACCAAGAGTGCTCACACTCCATTTTGGGATTGACCTTTTGGCAAGCCACCCCTGTTTGCGTGGTTTCGGGAAACCACTCCACTTCGGGCCATGGGTCAAAATCCCGTACCCCCAGTGAACATCCCAATCCCCACCAAAATAGGTTCTAAAATGGGTGGTGCACCTACAACATGGTACCATTGGTGTTGACCCACAGCCACATTTCGGGAACCCCGAAATCGTCGCCGACAGCGACCGCCTCTCGCCAGTGAAGCCGTTGAAGCTGGACGTCGTCTGGATGGGCACCGAGCTGGCGCGCTCCCGCTGGCTGATGGTGCCGTGGTGCGTAAAGGGCAGGTGGGCCGGGTCCAGGACGTTCCTCAGGCACTCCGCGCGGTGAAACTGGGCTGACCGTTTTCAGATCCCCGGCGAAAAGTGACCAGCAATTGTAGGTAAAACGGAAACCCGACCACTAAACAAACTAAAAAGCTCAGGAACCGGATGGCTGGGAGCCACCAAGTAAACATTCGATCCATGTTCCTTTTGGTGTTCAAAGGCTAGGTTCCTTTCTGCTGCCACAGTGTGCCTCCTTGGCGTCTTGCAAAATTTAAGCTTTGAGTGGATGTAAACTCCAAAGTCCGAAAAAGTCCAAAAGGGGCCCCAGGGAGGCGGCACCATTATCCAAGCCACAGGGGTCTGGCATGTAGGAAGGTCTCTTTTACGGGGTGCCGGGTCAGTAGCTGCACCCCACTCCAAAGAGAACTGAAATGGAAGGTCAACTTGGTCCATGACTCCGAATGAAAAAAGATTGGCTGGCACACTGGAAGGAACGTCGATTAAAATTGCACGACTGTGCTTGTCTGCTGTCCAGCCCACCTCTGGTGCTCGTCCGGGCAGTTTGCCACTGGGCAGCTGGCAAAGATCCAAAGCTTGGACTTTCACGACAATACAACACCTATTGCTCAGCTTCCCTCTAATTGGTGGTTTGGATTGGTGGTTTGGCGCTTAGGGACGGTTTCCCATTTACCCTCTACTAGAACCAGGGATTCGAATCCCCAAACCACCAATCCACACATTAGGGGGTCGGGGTACGTGAATTCCCAATTACATGTCCCAAGAAGCGAACAACCTGCAGCTCCCTTTCGGATCGACTCCCGCTTCTGCGACCAGTTAGCCATCGCTATGGCAAATTCAAATACGACAACATCTGCTCATCTGCATACAAACCCAAGTGAGCGTGTCTTTTTCAGGGGACCAAAAAACGATGGTTGGTTTGCGGTTGGTTTCACTTTAAAACCCAACCCACAAAAGGAGGCCCTCAAAAAACCCGAGACAAACCGAACTTCCATGCAGCTCGACAGGTTTTCCCCAGGGATCTCTCAGCCCAAGCTTTGGGGGGGGTCTCTCAGACTGACATGGAACACTCGCCCACTTGGCCTCTCTACATGGAACGACCCTCCCACCAATTGGAACCTGACGGGGACCCGGTCCGTGAAGGAAAATGGTCGTCCGGTCAGGTTCCATGCTATGGGAGCTTCCATGTTAGTCTGGAGGCTAGGTTTCTGGGTACATGAGGACATCCTCCAAAAAGTTGCCCCCTCAGAGCCACTTTCAAAAAACCCGCAACGATGCAACCACGTTTGTTCCGGCCCTTAACATCCATGTCCAAGCGTCTCCATGAGGATGGGCAAATCCATGGGCAAATCTCTGGAGTAGTCCACGTACCTCTGAGGAGGATGCCGCTGCCGGTGCATCGATGTGTTTCTTCAAAAGGACGGTCATGAATATCGCTCCTTTGGGGGGAATTGTTTTGCGGAGAAAGATGTGCCTTGGTCTTTTGGGAGGAGGTCTTTCGACTTTGGGGAAAGCGATATCCAAATATCCAAGTGGAGGCGGGGCCTCAAGCTGGCGGTGTCTTTGATTTTGCTTTGAACCAAAGCAGAGAAAGGCTACCCTCAAATAACATGCCCCCTTTCTCCAGCGGTTGGATTGCCGTCAGATGTAGGAATGCCAATTATCTCTTCCTCATTTATCATCGTCCCATATCATAATTTAGAAAGACGACGGACGGAAAAAGAAGGAGAGGAACCCAGCCATTCTTCACTCTCCATTTTTCATTCACTCACGTTGAAAAGAGAGATGATAATGAAGGTGACATCTCTCTTCAGTCCAGACAAGAAGAACAGGGATGAAAACCCGCCAGCCAACTGAATTCCAAGTGCTGGCAATCTATTCCTGAGTCTTTCTTGTGTGGCGGAAAACCACGCAAAAAGAAGCACAATGAATGGAGCAGAACTACTGCGTTGGCTTCCAGGCAGCAGAATCTTCCCTGTCACTTGCTAATGCTTGTCTTGGAAAACATTAATAAAGATGACGAGCATTAGGAAAGATCCAAATGACATGGAAGGCATTCTGGATTCTAGGTACAAAGGAAGTTTTTGTCCTTGCCTGTCAGAGCCTAAGCCGTGTAGATGGTTTAATCCATGGTAGGAAGCGAGCGGATGGTTAAGTCTCCCAACCTGTGCATTCGACTCTCTTGGTCACACATAAGCACATAATCAAAGTAAGGAATGTGACCAAGAGAAGAAAGGGATGACATGGGAAGGGATGGACTGGTTGCATTGATCAATGAGATAGAGAGAGGACAAGCGACAGGATAAAATATGGCGTTGGAAGGAAATGGTGAGGATTAAGGGCTTGCAAATCGGGTCCCGTGTAGAAACATTTAATCCCCAAAACCACCATCTTTGGGGGAACTCTCAATCTCCTTCGGGGGGACCCTACTTTGTCGATTCCACGTTTTTGTTTTTCAGGAGTTCTGGACGGATCCCAATGCACAACTGTCGCATTGAAAACGGAAACAGCGAGCGCCTGACGGTGCCCAGCCTGCAACCCTCAAGGTGGATGCTACAGCCCCAAACACACAACTGGGTGCCCATTTTCAGATTCCCTGCCAAAAGTGGAGAACTTTTGGTGGGTTGAATGGAAACTAAGCCAATACAAAACCTAAAAAGCTGAGGAACCGGATGGCCGGGAGCCAAGATAAACACAGGTGTTGCGGCGTTTCAGCTTTCCCTTCAGGGCGATTTCTCAGGATAGGAGGGCTTTCGGCGTCCAAGGTCCGAGTGGCTTGACCCCCTCGGTACCCAAGATCTCCTCACACCGGCGAAAGGGTCTTGCAACAGGATTCACCTACACCCAATGCCCACTTCTCTGAGGGTATGATGCCAACCGTTTCTATAAAAGGAGGCATGTGCCATGGAACACTAGTTGTGGAAAATATACCCTGAAAAAGGTGGGTATCTGGAGTGCTAAAACGAATCGACTCCGACTGGTCACTTTCTCGGAATTTCAGAAGAAATCCCAAACTTCTGCAACGGATTCTGAATGGCTAACGCTGCCCATTGGTCGCCCAGCAATTGTGGGGTAATAGCAATCATTGGAGAAAGGTAAAAGTACTCCAAAGACGAGTGGGTGATGGTGGCCCTGATCACATCTCTGCCTGTCAGCCACCTTCAAACTTCAACTAACTGAATGAACGCTGGCCGCTGAAAGACTCATCAGACTTCCACTTCCTGCTTCTGCAGCCTCAGAGAACTTCAGGCTAGCACAGCCTCTTGCAACGCCTGCGTCTGTAGCAGATTCAGATTGCTTGGACACGCCGCAAACACACACACAAACACACGCGTCAGACCGAACAAAGAAGGCGCAACATGAACCCTGACCAGGTCCTGTGTGTCACATTGAACACGACAAGCGAATAAGGCCATTCGGGACCTGAAACGATAGTTAGCTGACCCTGCCGTGTCGTGTGAAATGGTGTGCAACCCACTTGCCAAGAAGGCTTAAAGGGCAGTCCGGGGAGTCCCCGGACTGACAGAAACTACTTACCCACTAGACCAGCAATTATCCTTCCCCCTAACAGTGTTTTCTCCAAAGCCCCGCTAAGGGTAGAAATCTGGTCCCTGGAAGACGAACACAAGAACCCAGGCGGGAGGGTACTATATAATGGCTTCCACTGAAACTGCCACTTTTGGCGGTTCGGTTGCCCAAAGGACCCAGCAATGAAAGGTTCACCTTTTGGTGTCATGACTAAAAGGGGCCAAACAGGGGTGACCAAAAGGTTAAAAGGTCGATTCGCTTTGCGCAAGTGAGAGATTGGGAAATGAAGGTCCCCAGCCCAACCTCCTCAACCCCCCAACGCCCCCTCACCCCCCCCCCCCCCAACACCCCCCAACACCCCCCCAACACCCAGCCCCAACACCCAACCCCAACTCCCCCCAACACCCCCCAAAAACACTCCAAAAAGCGCGTTGGGCATCCGCTCCTCGTGCGCCAACTCCTCCAGAAGGCCAAGATCTGGCGGCGCGGCATCGCCGTACAAAGGCGCGGCCCAGGCGAAGAGGAGGCCCTGCCTTGCAACGCGAGTCGGGCGGGGACCTGGACTCTCCCTTGAAAAAATGCGTCCATGGACCCACACAATGTTGATGTTTCTTTTGGCTGTCCTTTAAAACCACCAAACTAAACCCTCAAACAATGACACACGCATAGGGGTCCCGACAGGGAGGGGGAAGAATTCTGGGCTTCACATGGGGGCCGTCCGTAATTGCATGTCTAAGCTATCAAACTTATGAACAGCGACAACTTGTTGTTTTGGGTAATGACCCCATTTTTGCAAGGGTCATGGAGACTCCAGGTACCCGTTTCAGGTTGCTTGAACTTGTTGGTGCGATAGGTAGGGCATGTGGGAATGAAGCGGTTTTGGGGATTCCCTTAAAGGAAACCATAGGGGATGGTTTCTGGGGGTCATTCCCTCATTTCCCTGCTGAGCACCATCAAGTTAAAGGGAAGCCAAGGGGAAACTATGCCTCACTTTTTGAGTGGATGGGCCAAACAAAGTCCAAACGTGTTGTTTGTCACTCAAATTGTCTTGCCCAAAATAATGAAGTCCAGCACCGTGCGGGTTACTCCGGCCCGGCCCAGGCGTGACCACAGAAAGTATCAAGTCCAGAGATGCAGGGAGTGAGATTCATTTTGGGGGCCGCAACATTTTGACACTGAAATCGAGATGATACGCCCGGGGCCAAACTGTTGCCCCGGAATCATGGTTGTGCCCTACAAAGTCATCTCCAGGTAGGCATGGAAACACAAATAATATATATATATACACACATCTCCTGAATCACATTTCGAATCGAATTGTTTCCCCGCCAAGCTGGTTGCCGAATGTTGCAGCCATAGGGCTGCAAGAAACAAAGCCTTGGTCCATTTCGGCATGTATCAAAGCGCTAGAGCCGTACTTGAATCATCTCAAATGATACCAGAACCTGCAGAGGCGCCAACCTTATGGAGGCTTCTTCGCCCCCACCTGCCACCCACAGCCTGAAGTTGCTCCCCTCAAGACTGTCCACCAGTCGAGGAAGGACAAAACCCTTCCTCGCACCTAAAAAGCAAGCTACTTCCCCCAGGCCCTTGTGTTTATTACCCCTAAACTTAAAACGAGGGGTGCCCCTTGTGGCGAAACCAGCCTCTTCTGGATTTTTAAGTTTAGCTGGGGGCAATACAAAAATGAGCAGCGCCCGAAAAACCCATTGACTTTCTGTTCTACTAACCATGTTCTAAAGGCTTATGCACGGGCAGCACAACCAGGGGTTTGAGGCGCTGCTCAAACGGAAAACTGCTTTCCCAAGCAATTTAACACTCAGTTGCCCAAGGGGCCTGGAAACCAAAGGTTTATTTTTTGGGACTGTTACTTCAAATTGACGAAAAGTGGAAAACCGAAAGGTCAAAAGGTCGATTCGCTTTGGCTGAGAACATCCGCTCGATCTGATCGAGCGTCCGCTCCTCTGTGGGGAGCATGCGCAGGCAAGCCCCTTTCCGAGCGGAGCTCGCCTTCTCCTTCTCCGCCTGTGGGATGCTCACGCATCGGCCTGCAGGACAAAAATACAAACCAACGCCGTGTCTTTTGAGTGGACCCTCGCAGTTGCCTTTAAGGGAATTCCCGAAACGGTTCATTCCCAACACCAGGGCTCGGGCATTCCCAACCTATCAGCCAAGTTGCTCTTTGTTTGAACGGATCGTTTCCCTCTTGGTTTCCTTTTAAACCACAAAGCAAGCGCAGTCATGAAAAAATGACACGCCCCGTGGTCCATGAGTTGGGTGCCTTTGACCACTCGCACCGCTGCCCGCAGCTTCCAGGGCTATATCAGGGAATCCTTAAAAGGGGGCTGTCCAAGGGAGGGGGTTCCCGAAAACTCCCTGACCCTAAGGAATCTTAGCGAACCCTAGGGCTCTCAAGTACCCACCGCCCTGGTACCGGCCTCTTTAGGGGATCCGTAGTTTGAGCACCCTGCGCGAAGGGTGCATGAAGTCTGGGAAGCAAAAGCTTGCAATCAGTAGCTGCTTTATTGGACGACTGACTTGAACCAGGATGTCTGGGAAAGATACATCCAAGCCCTTGATCTACAACTTGAAACTTCTCCAAATCAGCTGGAGGTGGCTCAACTGACCTTTTTACTGGCCTGCGCCATCAAAGGCCCAGCCATGGTATGGGCACTGCAGGCTCCGCTCGTTCAATCGGCCCTCCGAGAGTCGAACGCCCCGGTGAGGGCAGGCATCCCGGGCCGCACGCCAAGCTTCGCCGTCGTGCCAGAAGACCTAAATGACAACGCCCCCCGGTAGGCCAAGGAAAACAGCCGAAATGTTGGCTGCAACCAAAATGTGGTTGCTCCCAAAACGCAGAAAATGGGCTGTCCTGAGATCCGCTGCTAAACTTACCTTTTCACGAGTTAAATGGAAACCCCCACTACACCTTTAAAACCTAAAAACCCAACGGGTTGTCTGGGACCCGCCAAGCAAATTGGGTGACCCGATTTATGGGTTTCATTTTTGCTAACTGCAGCGTCTGACGAAAGCGCTTGGAAATCCGCTTAGGGTCCCCTGACTGCGTGGTGTGCTCGAAGGCAGCCAGAAAAACACAAATTCAAGCCATGTACGCGAAAGAAATAATGGCCTCGACACTTTGGACGGCCTTTGCATCACTGCCATCGAAGGAAACCCTTCACCAAACAAAGGAGAAAACGCAGGGGGCCAATGGGCAGGGCATGAGAAAAGCTGCCACGATCCAGAAGCACCCAGTCCCCTTCAGTCCAGCCCTTTCTTGCTTTACTAAACCTTAACTGGACCACAAAGGCAAACCAAAGTGAGAAAAAAAAGGTTCGATTTGGACAAGTCTTGAGGGGAAACCAAACCAACAAGACAGTATGAAGGATAACTATGTTCCGCTTTTGCAACACAGCCAGTTGGCCAAATATGGCCATGGCTGTTTTGGACCCTTTTTGGGGTGGCTCAAAGGGAAACCATGGGGTACCGATGCCAACCTCCAGTGACCCAAGGAGAACAACGACATTATTTTTGGTACTTGACTTTGCAAGGCAACTCCCTCCACAAAAGGAACCAAAGGGCCTGCCCAAAGTCTGCAATCCAAGACACCACAGCGACACCGCACAGATCCAGGTGATGTGGCTTCCCTTGATCTGTGACGGCAGTGAAGCACAAAGGGTACCTCGGCGGATCAAGGACGCGGGGGACTTAGTGATCCTGGGCAAATCTCCAGCACTCAATGGGCCATAGTTTCTGCTGGGATTACTTTCGCAACAATGTCAACTAACTATCATATACCCTCCGACGATTCCATGGTTTGCTGAACAAACCCCTGTTGAAAGACGACTTTCCTGTTGGAAAGGGGCTTTGTGCACTTCCACGTTGTTTGGTGACAGGGTACACAGGAAGGAAGAGTCAGGTTGCTGTGCGGATAGTCTGCGGGCTCCAACACAATGTTCTTGTGCCCCCAATTGCCACTGGATGAATATAAGACCAAACTCGCGATGGTCAGACAGCCTCTGCAAGTCCGCTCCAAGCCTCGTTAGATTTATTCCAACTAATCAAGGGCACACCCCCGTTTCAGGCGTGCAAGAAAAGCGCTCCAACTGAAGAGTTCCCACGAATTCAATACAGCGGAAGCTTCCATTTGCTTGAGTCCACTGGCAACAAAAATCCAGTAGTGATAGATTCCCCTTAAAACCAACAGGAGAAAATAAGAAATAAAAAGTGTTCTTCAGCAAATGGAAGGCAGAGTTTCAACTCCGAGCCGCCAGGCGCGCGCGTACACCTCGCCCGCCGCGTCCCGCACGCGGCGCAGCGCGCGGCTGCCCCGCGCGCCGCGGAGGGCTGGGACGGCGGCGATGGCCAGCGGAGCGGGGCGGCGAGGCCGTGGGATGTTGCCAGGGCCTCGTACGAGCCAAACTAGGGCACTGGTTGGCTGGTGTTTGGGTTTGACACTCCTTTTCTGGCCAACTGAAAAGTATGGTCTTTGGAAACGGCCGTAAACCGTGGGGTTCGCCAGCTGATGAGGCAACTGCGCTCGTCCTCGATCCTGCAAAGCTAGATTTGACCTCTGTTTGAGATGTGCGTGCTTTTGCAGGGTTTTGCGTCCGTTGCACGGGACTTTGCGCTCGATTTGCGGCACAACTACATGGTCAGACCAAACGTCAAATCGTGCTTCCTATTCCTGTCCCTGCGCTGGCTCCAGTTCTGAACGGTACGAAATGCTACCCCGAAAATTTGCAAGTTGGGTTCATTTCTCAGAAAACTGCTCGTTTGTGACAACGACCAGCTTTTGAAGGCCACTTCCTGAACAGTAACCAATGTCAAAATTGAACAAAAATTAGTGATCGCTTGACGCTGAAAGGCAAACATCTGTTGACTTAGATGGCCTGGGACTGAGCTAATTGGTTAGAAACCCTAGTTACAGGGGGCTTACAGTAACTCGGTTGCTTTCTGCTCCCCTGCTGAAAGCTTAACTTTGAGTGGTTTAATGGAAACCTCAGCAGTTGGCAAAAAGTTAAAGTCCTAACATCCAAGCAAAATGCAACAAAGGTGAGGACATTACAACCAGGCTTACTAGCCATTTAGCAAACTCCCAGACCATCTAAGTAGGGGAGCCAATATTAGAAGAAAAAACACATATCTAGTTGCAGTTGCATCACCCGAATTCGCTCCAGGGATGCCCCATTCACCAGACGAAGTCATGACTCCTGATACACCAGGAGTCTCAAGACATGGGCACGCCTTTGAGGATATCCTCTGAGGGAAGCCACCCCTTTGGCCCCATGCTCCGCGTTGCCTCGACATAGGCTCGCTGTGCGAGCACGGAAACGGAAGTGATGCACGTCCTGCGCGAATTTCAAAGTTCAGACCCACGATGAAAGCAGAAGTCAAGTGAGCCCTTACTCTTCTGAGCAATACTCCTTGATAACCAAAATGTGAACCTACAAAAATATGAAAGCCTGTTGAGATGCCAGCACAGGTGTGGCCTACACTTATGCCGACACCGATGTATTCACACCAAAAAAAGATCTAACGTGACATAAAGCCGTGGCTGGACAACTAGCTCTGGCGAGGGGCAAACAAGAACATCACCAACGCATGTCCGCAGAAATGTTTAAGCATTGGTCCTTCTTTGCCTTTGCACGAGGCAAAGGTGTCCAATCCGTCTTAGATGGCTCTCCCTTGCTATAGACACTGTCGGATCACTGAACCGTGCACTTCCCAACGTCGAACACCGCAATGTGTTTATTGGATGCCGTTCTCTGTAGGCCCGCTAGCCAGAAGGCAGCGTGCATGTAGACCCAACTTCCCACCTTCTTTGCCGTCAGGCAAAGATTGACATCAACGGAAATTAATTGTTCATGGAGTTCACCACGCGTCATCTGGGCAAGTTGTTATTCACAAATGTGCTTGGCTCGGACAGTGCTGAAGCCCCAACATGCTGGGCTTGCTCTTGAAGATTCGCTTTAAAACGGCAACGACCTCAAAAAATACCCCATTTCCAACAATCGTGGAAGTGAACATGGTTCCATGATCGGAAGGAGGGTACACACTCAAATTGGCAACATTCGGAATCAAAAGGACCTTCATACTGTGGTTGGAAGAAATCCTGCACCACTTGGAAACCATGAAAAACCGTTGTTTGTTCGTATTTACAGGGGAATCATTATTCCAGGGTTTCTTAGGTGGTGCAGAATTTTGTCCATCCACAGTTGGGTCGCTTGTGAGCTTCACCTGCATCTAACTCCATTGCCCTCACGAGGGTTTTCTCACCGATCCAGTGGATTCGTCAAAGACGTGTTGTATCAGTGTTGTATCAAAGGCCCGGGTGAAATGGGAAAAAAGGGGCAGACTTTAAAGGGACCCCCCTCACCTTCAACAAAAGGAAAAACGGGGGTAGCACTGGGTGTCCGACTTGTTCACCACAAAAAAATATATCTTCCCGAAATTGGGGAGGTGAGTTTTGCGCTCTTTTGGTCATTCGGGTCCTGTCCCCTGAGCAGCATGGCGCGTCACGCCTCACCCGCTTTCCATGCGTTGCGCGACCACTAGACTGCCTCAATGGGCATGACTGCGTGGCTGAAGTTGTCACTGTAGTTTCAGCCAACGGCACTCAAGCTTGAATCTTGATTTGAAAGTCATACCAGCCAAACTATTCAGGGAAATTCATTCCAAACGATCATACGTGTGCTGAGATCCGGAAACCCAGAAGCACGGATGCTGGTGTTTCTCATGGCTGGGCCCTGCTTAAACCCACCTTTGAGCCACTGTACGGAGCGAGCGCGCGGGTTTCGCAACAGCGGCAAGCTGACAAGCGAGACGGGCCAAACTGGGCCAAACCGTTCTGCTTGCTTCTTCGGGAATCAGCTTCTGAGAGCCCTGACAGCTCTGCGTAGGATACATTTTTCAACAGGTTTTTCATCAGGCCTTGTTGCAAGCGACTCCTATGGCCTGAGTCAATACTTTGGCATAGTGCCTTCAAATGTCGAGGCCTCTCCCCAAAACGCCTTGGTTCATGGCCGTATTCCCCCACCCCGCCCTGCACTAGGCTTTACGCCGGCCGCGCGCCGCACTTCTCACGCGAGGTTCTCGCGCTTGCTTCGCGCTCTAGGCGGCTGCGTGTCACTGGGGATGCATGCAGCACCTAGGCGCGGAAGTCTGTGCTCATGCGAAAACCAACCTCCAGCAGTCGGAACTCGTGTCAGAGAATGGTCATGTCTGCCTTGCCTGAAGCCTGAGTCAAAGGGTCCATTCCTATTGCCCGAGTAACCAAGGATGTTGATCCGTCCACAATCACATACAAACATACAGACAGTTCTGAGCAGCTGCAGCTACTACAAACTCAGCTGCTCGGATACAGTTCTGTTCTTTGGGCAAAGAGGCAACCAACTATCTGTACCACTGGCTTATCTTGGCTATTGCTGCCCTGAGTGGAAACCTTACAATGGTTGTCTAAAAATCCGCAGGGGTTGATGACCGTCTCTACCCCAAGCAAAAGTGAGCAAGAGTGGAAGCCCATTGCCAACAAAATCAGGGCTACGCACAACCGAACGCAACATGGTTGTGGAACATGACCCCTTTGATACAGAAGAGACAGCGATTTCCCCGACTTCACGGTAAAAGGTATTCCCCAACCAATTTGGCATCACAGAAAACAAGAAACCGGTCCAAACCATGGAATGCGTTCGGCTAGACCTTCTGCCTGCCTAAGCAAAGAGAGAGATAGAGATAGAGCGACCAAACCTCGATGGACCTCGAGGGACTGGGTAGAGGTGCGATAGGTAGGGAATGACCGAGTTTCCGGTGTCCCTTCAAGGAAACCAAGGGATTGTTTCCCTGATGGGCACCAGGAAGTAGAAGCGGAGGCTCGACTTACATTTGTAACGTTTAGAATGGGTCTTGCGTGGGCAATACAATACAAAACATCGGCAACAAAGCAACGCAAAATGTGTGCACACAAATGCTACCATGACAAATCAACACATATCCCTGTGGAGTTTCAGGATAATGGCTTTATGCAAATTTCGAGGCCCGACCCGTGTACTTAAGCCCTGCTCCGGTGTCTGCACCTCTGATCGGAGCACGTGTCGGAACCGGGACACGATTGAATGTCTATTTTCGCTGCTGGGCTCTCACGAAAACAATGCGGAACCCAGCTGCTATATAGAAAAGCAACCGTCTGCTACGAGCTAGGCCAAAGCTCAGCCTTCTCAATCTGTTCCTCACGAAGTCTATGAAAGTGGCCACACCAAATGCCTCGTACCCAATTCCCAGCCATGCCTCCTCAAAAAAGCATCAAGTCGGGACTGCTAAAATTCCCTAAGTTCACCCCACTGAATCTAAGCTAATTAAGAAAACTAGTTGATTAGCTTAACTTGGGGGCGGGGGTGAACTTAAGGGATCGCATCATTTTTAGGCGCGGCCAAAACTGCCTAGGTGTAGGGCTAGTTAGCTTAAAATGCAGGGGGGGTGGACTTATAGGATTGCAAATCCTTGGGGATGGTGAATGTAGACGGATCGCAAATCCTTGGCACAACCCAAATTCCTCACGCGCATGGTTAGATAGCTTAAATTCAGGGGGACTTAAGGAATCGCAAATCCTCAGTGCATGGTTGATTAGCTTAAGCTCAGGAGGGGGAACTTAGAGGATCGCAAATGCTTAGGCGCAGCCAAAATAGCCTAAATTCACGGGGGTGAACTTAAGGCAAACCCGTAGGTGCAGCAACAACTCCCTAAGCGCAGCCAAAATTCCTTGGGTGCAGCCGCAACTTCTCACAAGCGCAGCCAAAATTCCTTAAGTACAGCCAAAACTCCTTGCGCTTAAAAAGTTGGGCTGCACTTAGGGAATTGTGTTGGCGCTTGAGTCAGGTAGTCAAGGAATTGGCTCAGTGTCCAAGAGGTGTGGCTGCGCTCAAGGATTTCTTGGCTGGGCCGGAGAAGCGGGTAGGGCTTCGCTCGACCAAGAAAAGGCTGTAGTGGAAAGCTGTGTCCTGTGTATGTCAACTACTTCATCCAGGGGGTGGCTGTTCACACAGCACCTGTGATGACACAGAAGTTTACGGAAGGCTGACTCCTGGTCTTGAAAAGTACATCGCTGAAGTTGTCTGGTCTGAACCAAACATTGCACACACTGGTAACCTGCATGTGCCACCACCTCGCAAACCAGCACATCAATCAGTCGGTCGGCTGTCGCAACCACACAACCAAAAAGTAACACAAAACACCTGTTTGCCAACGTCGCGCAGCCCTTTCGACCACACCCATGGCAAACGCATAGGCGACCGGAATCAGCGGCCTAAAAGGGAGCAGCGTACCGTTTCCATCCAGCAGGGAGGCCCTGACCTTGCTACTTCCCCTTGCCTCTGCGCTGCCAGCGGGGCCAGGGGACTTGGAAGCAGGTTGAGCCTTGCTCTTCGAGCTCGGATGCCCGCCAGTCGGGATGCGCGTGTCCCAACGCCTTCTTTCGGGCGCAGGACTGCGGCCGCGGGAGGTTCTCCTCGCCTTGGGCTGATCATCATTGGCCTCCTCTTCGGATTCTGTATCCGGAACGCGGGTGTTTACCCCTGCAAGCTCGTCCTCAAACGGGTCCAGCGCAGCTGAAACAACAGCCGCAATAGGGACAGGGGGAGGGGGAGGAGGAGGAGGAGGAGGAGGAGGAGGAGGAGGAGGAGGAGCGGACGCAGCCTCACCCGAACCGGCCGCCACAGCAGGCAGCACCGGAGGAATTGTATCCTCCGCATCCTCTTCCTCGGGCTCATCGAGGTCCTCAGGCTCCTCGTCATTCACCGAGGGTTCATCCGACTCTTGCTCATCCTTGCTGGATGGGGCATTGTCAGGCATCTCCCCGTCCTTCACACCAGGGCCAGGGGTCAAGCGCACCGCCTGTCTGTAGCGATGTCGTTGCCGAATCCCGTACCTTTTGGGCGCCGGAGCTGCAAGCTCTTGCTTGACGTCGTCCTGCGGTTGCGGACGATCAGCCAGGCAAGTGTCGCACGCGACGGTGGAGGTCTTGTAGATCAGCTCATCAAGACTATTGAGGTCATTTACCTGATATGCATAGCCCTTCTTAATGCCCTCTTTCACGGTGTCCATCACCTCTGTGAGTCGTGCCTCAGGGTCGAAGCCAGCTTTTCTCCGCATGGCTTGTATCACCCCAACGTGCTAAGCGAGGTGCTCCACCTGAGCCTTGAAGACATCCCCCTTCACATCGTTTGGAAGAATCGGCGAAAGGTGTCCAGACCTCAACCCAGTCATGTAGTACGACGTGTAGAAGCCGCTCCTGTTGGGGTTGAAGTTTGCGGTGGTGAGGCGTCTACCCCACTCTGCCGCATACGCTTCGACCGGGGAGTGCTGCCACAGAGGGACCACCGTGTCATACGCAAGTGCCAGCTGGCCTGCGTGAACTTGTAAATGAGTTCCCTACGTCCGCATGGACAGAGACTTCTCCAAGGTCCTCAGGAAGCACAACACCCTTGAAGAAAATCCTGCAGGGTTGTGCGCAAAGGCTTGAACTGTTGGCCACAGTCCGTGGGCAAGTCAATCATGAAGGAAGCGGTGACTTCCGACACGATGGAGGTGAGGTTCACTAGGGGGTACCCTCGTGGTCAGGGTTCTGAAAGGAGATTGACTGCTTCGAGCAGCATCGACGGGTCATGAAGATGATCAGGAACAAGATCAGCGGGTGATTCCGCACGCTAGGATGGGATTCCACGAGGTCTGCATCAAGCTGGAGAAGCCGGCGGCAGATACGGATTGGGTGGAGGCCTGTAGCTCAGGACGCGATAGCAGTACTTCAACCCGTTTGTGGAGTGGAATCCACATGCTCCTAGCATTGTTTGGGCCATGCACAAGTTCTTCCCCGGGAACTACATGGGGCTGATAGGCCTGAGTGTCGAGGAGGAGAATCTGAGGGCAGCCCCTGGCACTCCGGTAGCGGCGAGGGCTGAGGCTTCCATTCAGTACGAGAACAACTCCAACGTCCTCTGCCAATCAACGCGTTCAGGATTGTCAGACCGTCAGACCGCCGCAAAACAACTCACAGGTACATGTGTGATCTGAGTCAGAATATCCCAAGCCAAGGCCGTTTTATCAGGTGTCCGCGGAGCGTTTCACGGTATGCTAGTTCTGCCCCATGTGTAATCCGCATCAGAAAACCGCAAACCAAGGTCATTTCATTAGGTGTGTGCGACATCACTCACAGTTAAAAGCAATTCTCCAACAAGGTAATGCCATCAAGTCCGTCCTTGCATTGTTCCCAAACAAGACGCCTTTGCGGGCTGTTCAGCTGCGAAAAACACACAAATTTGAAACCCATTGGGTCTCAGCAGCCCTGGAAACAGCCCCACCCTCAAGTACACGGGGCCCTCCTTAAATCCATAATTTTGAAAGCCAACACATATCCCCGAGAAAGGGTTGCGTTTCCAATCCGCACGTCCAAAGTTCACCAAGGCAGTCTCACTGCTTCAGACCTGCTTTGATTCTGCCAATCTGTAGCTCAGGAAGTGCGAGGCACAAACAAGAAGAGGAAGAAACAACAAGGCGAAACGTCAAACTGGTAAGCCAAGTCTGGCTATGGAGTTTCTGCTTCGAGGTGGGCATCATCTTGGTTGTTGTCTTCTCTGCAAACAAGTTTAAGTTTGTGTGGGTCCAATGGAAAATCCACTGTTTCTCAACAAGTTAAAGTCCAAAGATCCAACCACATAGCCATAAAGTCGTTTAGGTGCTGTTTATGTCGACCATTCGGGAGGGCATTCCCAAAAGTTTATAGCCATGTTCCTTCCACTCCCCCCCCCCCGACCCACCCCCCACCGCCCACAAAAGAAACGAAAACCCAAAAAACAACACCCAAAACCCCCAAAAACATACCATGACATTTCCAGAAGTTACCTGCTGTTGGTGAAGAAAATACGTGGAGAGACCCACATGTGAGTCACCTCGTGGGCCCTGGGGCCTTTCAAACACTGGCAAGCAACCTTTCCCAGAGGGTCCAAGTACCTTCGGAGGATGGCTTTTGGGGGGTCAAAAGGGGTCTAAGTACATCCTTAGAAGGTACTTGGGCCCTCTGGGGTTGCTTTAACGGTGGAAAGTGAACCAACTCCCGGCGGTTTTCGCCCATGTCCCACTCCGGTCGAGGAGCTCCGCGTCGGTGGAGCCTTGGATCTCCTCGAAGTCCGGCTTCCGCACCATGGATCGATCCTCGCAGCAGTAGCCCTTGCACCTGGGTCGGTTGGATCGGTTGGATCGGGTCAGGCGGGTGCTTGGAGCAAATCGGCATTGTCTTGTGTTTCTTTGTTTTGTTTGTTTTGTTTTGATTTGTGTTTTCTGTTTTGGTGTTGTTTTTCTTTCTTCTTCGGATCTCAAGGCTTGGGTTACCGGAACTTGTTGAGGTTCGTCGGATCGGGTCATGCGGGGATGCGGGGTTCTGGAGACAAGTGGCCAACATGTAGGATCTCCAAAAGGGTGATGTTGAGGTTCAAGATTCGGGCGGTTCACTAGAGCATGTGTTCACTCATGTGTTTCTGGGTCCCTTGCTTCTACTCTTAGCCCTTCAGGTCTAGAAAAGATGGCACGTAGATGCACGTAGTACATCCTCAGGCAGGAAAGCAACCAAAGGACCTGACAAGAAAAGATACTGGTCCACCGCCAAAGTACCTCGAACCATGGATCCTTCAGACAGCTGACTAGACTTCTTGACCACAAAAAGGTGATCCCAGTGATCCCCTCCAACCTGCTGGGGGCTACGGACTCTAACCGACTGACTGCAAGGGAAACAAATTGGCCGAACAAACCTTGCTGCACGTCAGGGCTTGGTAAGATACGGCTGGTGCCTTTGGTTTCTGTTTGTAGGGCGGGTGCAATCAAAGTTCACCATTTGGCGACGTGTTCCTGTGTAGGTCAACCGAAGGGCGGATATCCGCACCTGCTTGTGGCTGGGACTGTCCCCTATCCTTCACTGAAGCAGCTGCCCCGCAATTTTACCTTCACTCACCCTACGAACCTTCACTTGAGCAACTGAAATTCACTTCACTTTCCCTAACCTTCGCATACCTTTCCTTTCCCAGTGAATCCATGTCCCTGTATAGTAGGTAACCACGGGAACCACCCTTTAAACTTTCAAACCAAAAGGAAAATAGTTGGTTCCCTACTACAAGGGTAACTGGGATCTGGATTTGCTTTATCTTGGCTCAGTTTGGAAAGCGGACCATCTGATTGAGCCAGGTACCAAACAGGCTCGTAGCACTCTGCGTCAGTGCTCCCCAGCAGGTCCCTGTTCGCCTTTCGCCTCGGGTCGTTTCCCGCGCGGCATGGAGAACCAAAAAAACAAAAACAACGTGCCCACAAAATGAGGGCACCCGCTTTGTGCACTGGATTTCAATCGGGCCCCCCCAAACAAAAAAGGCAACAACAACAAAGGAGCAAACAAGGCTTAAAGAAACTGGGCCTAGGAAAAATGGCCTGGAATTGAAAGGGGACCGCAAAAAAAAAAACCACGGAACGAAAACGGCCAGTGGAAACTACCGCCCCACGCTTTGACAAGCTGGACCTTTAGGACCTTTAGGGCGGTCGAAAAAGGTCGAGAACGCAAAGCTACACCGCACGCGAAGACCTTCAACTGGTGCAAATAAGAACCGCATAACCCAACGTTGGCCATGTTCAAGACTTCCATTCCATGAAATTCCATCCACAGAAGGATATGATTTTGCAAATCTTTCACCCGGAACTCAGAATCAGAAGCTGCGAACTGTTGGCAGTCGACATGCAGCTGTCAACACTGGTACCACCTATTCGATATAGGTTTGTTGGGGGTGCATTTAGGAGGCAAAATGCCCAACTGGCATGGATCATGGATCCTTTGCGCTCCTTTCGAAAACCCGAGTCAAACAAAGTCTTTGCGGGGGACTCAGGTGTCCCGGCTAACGGCTGCGTCTCTTGTGCATGCGGATGCATGCAGCCCCTTATTGATTCAGGCATGCGTAAAAAACAACGCCATCAAGAAACATGACATCCACATAGATCCAAATTCTACGTCTGTGGGTTTCTCCCCAGACTAGGGAACCCCAACATTTAGTGGTGTTCCTTCTCCAGTAAAATCAAGCCAAAAAGGGGTACCGACTCAAATCCTGGCCTTCAGACCTCCGCCATCCCCTTCCCCTCCCCCACCCTTTTCAGAAACAGGACCTGCAGAGTTCGGGCCTTCGGGCCCCGGTAAGCGTTAGAAGGGCTTCCAGGACCCCAAGACCCCCCGGAACCTCAAGCACTTCCATGTGGCTGCGGTTCTCAAAACCGTTTTGGGATCCCATTTTGGTTGGTAGGTGCACCACTCATTTTGGAACCTATTTTAGTGGGGATTGGGATGTTCACTGGGGGTACTGGGCTTTGACCCAGGGCGGGAGGGTGATCCTGGGTTTTCCCGCAAAGCGCAGAAGTTCGGAGCCTTATGCTGGAGCATTGAAATCCAGGCAAGCCATAATCCGTACTCCCCCCCCTTTTTTGCGCATAGTCCAGTCCGTAAACCATACCTGCAACCCGCTAGTCAGGGATAAGGATTTGAAGAAAAAGATGACGCCAATCACAAAAACAAAGCAAATCCATGACACACCATCTTCTTGTACCAGTTGACACTCGCATCCGTAGGCCTCCATGCTGCCCTTGAGATCGGTGCGGCTTGGCTACTATCCAAACCCACCTAGGGGTGTCTTTTTTTTGGGGGGGGATTTGTTGCGGTTAAAGAGAAACAACGAGGACAACTATCCAACTCAGCCCAGTTTGGACCAGGTAAAAGGTGATCACCTTTTGCGGCCGCTAGATATGGACGGGGAAAAAAGGTCAATTGGTCGATTCGCTTTGGGCAAGTGAGCCCACCTGACTCAAGAAACGATGAGCTCTATCTCTCAAACGAATGACAACCACTATCATGGTCACGCAGGATCATCAAGGTCAACTGACTGATTCCTAGAGATATGGGGCCGAATTTGTCGGGTAGCCACCCTTTCTTGCGGGTCCCATTTGTCCAGTGGTCCAGTGACTCCGGTCAATGGACAGCGACCGATGCTGGGTTCGGATGGGTTCGGCAAGTCGCTTGAACTTGGTGGGGAACTGCGTGGTGTACCTCAACCGCAGAGCTCAAATAAACCGAGGCGAATCGCAGCCTTCTGTCTGGCTGTTTTGGGTTTGGGCTTCCTTGGGCTTCTTTCGCGGAACTCTAATTTGCCCACCGATGAACGAATCCGGGTCTGAGTGCGCGACCTTTAGGGAGTTTGGGGGTGGCCGGTAGTCGCGGTTGCGTCTATCCAGATTTGTCGACAATTCAACGTCTTGGCATTGCAGTCGGTTGGGTCTTGGCTGTCGCAGTTGGCCTATGTGTGTTTTTCCCCCAAGGGCAAATTCCTTCAGCTTGGCAAAAACAAAAATCCCTGCGCACATTTCGTGGGGCGTTTGCTTCAGGGTACGTACCAACTTTTTGGGGCTCTTTAAGAGGGCAAGCCAAAGGACCCCCCCCCCAATTTTGCTTTTGGGTGTCTATTTCAGTGTACACAAGAATTCCCCGCAGGCCAAGATGAATTGCAAACGACTCCTTGACCGACCGGAAAAAAAAAAGGCCGGTAAGGCGCAAAACGCGCCAGCTTTAACTGAAGCAAACAAGAAGCCCCCTGTTTTAGTTAGCTAGTCCTAAGACAAAACTTCCACTCTTACGTTTCAATGAATATGCGGACCAGTTATTCAAACTTGCACGATCGTCTGCTTCACCTAGCAATTGACCAGCAATGCGGCAAAACAGCAGACTCTACTCCAATCCAATTCCTTGCATAAGGACAAGATCAGTCGCATACACAACAGTAGTTCCAACAAACATGCACAACACGCACCAAACAGCCAAAACAAATGCCATGCACACTCCTGAATCCAAAGCGCTGATTGCAAAGCTTGGGCATGCAGCACTCGTCATCGGTACTGCCCCGGTGCTTGTAGTGGTTGGTGTCTACCTTCCTAGGGCGATCGATGGGCTTTCGTGAAATGCGACTCAAGCCAAGCTCTTCAGTTCGTGGTGTTCCCTGCAAAGGACTGCCAAGAAATTACCAGGACTCTGACCGCAAAAGGCGAAAAGCTTGGCTTACTGCGTACCCGGGGCTTGTCCAACAGAAAACTGGCCGAAACCCGACATCCTATCAGCTTTCATGGCTGAAGACTGGGTATCCACAATGCAGCCACGGCTCCTTGGCGTTTTTTTTGGCCATGATTCACAAACCCGAATTAATGAACGGGATCCAACCGTAAGGGACCTTCATCTTTGGTTAGCTCGTTTTACCTTGCCGGGGTCTTGTTCTTAATTGTCCCAACAATATCCGCCAAAACCCTGTAACGTGATTGGGTGGACTGGTGCTGGAGTTTAAGTGACCCTTCGTTTTTTCTAGATGCATAATGGGCAATGATGATCCATGACTTTGGGCTGCGTCCCAAGCTCCACTGAAACCTCCATTAATTGCTAGCGAATGGGCCCAATAAGTATTGGAAGCGCCGAACGTGGAGTGGTCTAGGTGTCGCACACACGAGCAGCTCTCTGGCCATGTGTTGGCCAATCCCAAAAGCGGGGCAGCGAACGTGGACCCAGGCTTGGGACTGAAAGGATCCATGGCTTTGGCCGGAGTCTCAACATCCAATGGTTGTCAAGGCGATCCCGACAAAGGGGCTAATAGCGACGAATAAGGCCTATCAGTGGCGAATTGGGTTCCTTCTTTTGGGTGGTCCCCTCTTGGGGGGCCCCTGACCATGGAAAAGGTGACCGACTTGGCCCCATCGATCGCCAGGCAGTTTTCTGACTTGGCGTTGGACAAAAATCGGAGTAAGGTCTGCCCCGGATAAACCCCTGCTTATCAATAGTATTGTGTTCCCTGCAAAAGTGACGAACACCCACTAAAAGCAGGCACACTCTCATATTAATTTATTCGGGGTCAAAAAGCTGCAGACCCAGCCCATTTGAGTGTTTCTTTTTTGGAACATGGATATAAATGACACCTCCCCCAAACAACAACAGCAATACTTGTTTTCTACTGTCACGAGCTGAAGCCTGTCCAAGACAGAGTATGAGGAGCCATGCAGAATTCACCCCATGGGGGGGGAATCTACAGATTATCCTTACCTTTCTATATTGGTTATGAGCAAGCGACAAAACAAGAGATTGCCTTCCCTCCCAGGAAAGGGGTACAAAGGGACCAATAGAACTAGCAGCCCTCAAGTAGCTTAAGCAGCTTATCCCCTTCAAGGTACACGACAAGAAATCGTGGCTTTGCCTGCATTGGCAGCCAGGTGTCTTGTAGTAGATGGTGCTCTGGCCTCAGTTGAAACAATGGTTGCCTGAAAGCCCTATTGAAACGCCAAAAATAGCAGGTCTGGGAAAAAAGGAACAATTACCCCTTGCGGTTTAAAACAACATGTCGCGATTTAACACCCAACTCAAGTTTGAACCAACATTGGCAAGCATGGGTTTGCAAGCCTGCATGCTCCACGTCAAGTACAGTGCCTTCTTTTGGTCGATGACAATGCTTGGAGGACACCAACAGGGAACCGGCTAGCCATTGAACCGCCGCAGTTCAGTTAAAACACTCAGGCCTCGGGACGCACGGGTTCGAGAAACGTGGGCGAAATCAAACCGCTGTCCTATAGGCGACCCAGAGTTCAGTGGATTCCTTGTGGCGCTTTGCAACACCCAACTCGAGCTCACACCTAGAGAAAACTGGCAAAAAAACCTGACAGAAGGGAGGGCCTTCGTGGGATCTCAGGCTGAGTTGCTTAGGTGGCACCCTTTTGCCCTGGTGGGTTCCCATGCAAAATAGTCTGCCCAAAAAAGCACTCTCTTACTCCTAGGGTTCCATTTTGCAACTGGATGGGAACAAACGCCTCAAAACTCGCCGCCATAGATATCTTGATGGCAGCTCATTCTATTTGGTGTGTACCATTGTTCTAAAGGCCTCACTCTTGTGGCAGCAGCCTCTGTTGATATCAACCCGTGTTTGCAACCAACCCGCACCGTTGTTTGGATTTTTGAAAGTGTAGTAAGGCTGTCGCCGTCGCCGTCTGCGTCGCCGCTGCAAGTGTAGGCCTGGCAATCTAGATGTTCAACAATATCAGCGATCTGGTCCAATCACTATAAATGTTATTCACCCCTTGTTTTGACAGAGCCCCAGCTGGCAAATATCAAAGAAGAAGTGCTTTTGTTGCTGACAAAGCAAGTAGCACTCATGAATGCGCACCTACAGCATTGTGGCAAACTTCAACATGTCAACAAAAGAAAGACGGAACCACGCCACTTCCGCGAGCTTTCACACAAATCAACTTTCGCAGCTAGTCATGTTCCATGCGTCCAGCTCTTCGAACTAAGAGTCATAGCCCATGGCTGCCCTTGAGTCTGAATCGGGGCTATGCGAGGGGTATTCCCTCGCCTCGCAGAAGAGAGGCTCGCAGCATTCCTGGCCACCGGTCGGCGAGGCAAGAGAGCTAAGCAAACGAACCCGGAAAATGCTTGTTGCCGGTGAGAGTCTGTAAGACTCGAAAAATCATCTCAATTCGCAAAGGAAAATGTGACCTGGGCCCCAAAATCGTCGCGACTTTGCAAGTACAGCCTCGTTGGTGCTTCCGCCCGCTGTCTCGCGATAGGACGCATTCCTGGGCCATGCCGAAGATCGGAAAAGGTTTGTCCCATACGACAGGGTCGTGCAAGAATGCATTGTCAAGCGCTCCAGATCTGTGATTTGGACTGGACAACTGGAAACCTGAACTTCAGAATGCTGAAGTTGGTGGGCCAAGCAGGCTCCAAGAATGGTATGTAGGGATTCTTCATGGTTCTTACAATTTCTTTGACCTTTCACTTAGCTGTGATCGCCGCTTTGGTCGAGAAATCTATCCAAAAATGTCCCGAACGGTCTCAACCAAGCCACATGCTGGACGAAGGCATGTGAACATGGGTAGGTCGGAAACCTGTTGCATTCACATCCCTTAAAGAGAAATGACCAGAACGCCATTCCCGAGGAAAGTCATTAGTCCTCCACAAGGGTCCTGCCAGTGTCCATGGAAAGGAGACTAGCTCTAGAGATATGGATCGCTCTGATCCACAAGTGGTGACAACCAGCAAGAGGAGTATGGGATTTGCAGAACCGCCAGTTTGGCACAGGGGATTCTCGGAGCCTGTTACGGGACAAACTCAAACAAGCCTGAAAAACAAACATCCCTCCAAAGGACCTGAAAATAAAAGGTGGTCACCCTCTGGGGACACGACTAAAATAGTTACCAACTATGGATAACCAAAAGGTCAGATCCGATTGAATGGCTTTGGGCGACAAACATCCCAAGTAAGAACCATTCATCATGCAACCTGGTGCTCAGCACGGAATGAGGGAATTACCCCTATAAGCCATCCCCTATGATTTCCTTCAAGGGAATCCCCTGCTTCCAATGAGCCATCCATTTCCAATGGTTCCTCTACGGAAATCCCAAAACGGTTCATTCCCTCATTCCCTACTGATACTTCTTGGCCTTTTTCGAGGGCTAAGAGGCGCGCCACCAACTTGGACATCACCCGGGCGAAGCGACACGTCTCTTTCGCCTTTGATAATCGTTCCCTCCGTTCAAAAAAGGCCTAAGGCCGCATTGTCTCCAAAAACGACGGCACACAGCTGTCAAGCTTGTACCCCGTTATTGTATTATTGTATAGGTGTATAGGAGTATAGGATTAGCACCTGATGATATTCATAAGAAACTGGAATATTAGAACACGAAATGATTCCACATAACAAGCCATCATGAGATGCTCGTTCCTCACCCCGCCCCCTGCAGACAGCTGCAACACAAATCGCAGGATCCACCTCCTCCCGGAACCTCCTCCCGGAACCTCCTCCCGGAACCTCCTCCCGGAACCTCCTCCCGGAACCTCCTCCCTGGTTTCCGCAAAGAAGGACCTTCAAGAATAAGGCCTCATGCGGGTCTTATCTTTTGCAGAGCCAGGGATTGGATGCACCGATCCTCAGAATGTTGTCACTACCCCGAAGTCACGAGTGTTTGAGGAGATTCCGGTACACCAAAAATGTGCCGATCAAAGGGCATCTCCTCCAATTCATGACCCCAGTCTGGGGCATACCAAACATATGCGTTGTGCTTCATATTTCGCCAACCGGAAAGCAGGCCGCTATGTTTGGAGACCCTACAGTGGAAGGACGAAATCAGTTTGCCCCAAATTGAAACCATGCAAAACCCATCGTTAGTTGGTATTTATGCAGGCGAATCATCAGAAACCAGGGTTTCTGAAGGTGGTGCAAAAAATGCATTTCGCAAGCATCCACAGTAGCAACTCTTTGGCGGCGGAGCTCGTAAAAACGTGTGGACCCCACTCTCCATGACCCTTTGAAAATGGGTCCATGATCCCATTATTTTGGGTACTGACCAACCATTTTGAAAGTGGGTGCCTGGAGTCTCCATGACCCTTCAAGAATGGGGTCATTACCCAAAATAATGGGATCATGCACCCATTTTTTTAGGTTCATAGAGACTCCAGGTGGACCCGAGCCACTCTTTGTCTCACGGCCAGGGCGCAACGGCTTCCACTGGGTGGCGGGACTGCAGCTGAAGGCCGAGCACATCACCTTGTCGCAGCACTCCTGCGACGCCGAACGCGGACCTGGAGGGCTGGGTGTGTCTTCTGTCAGGGGGTCCCAAAATGGTGGTTGTCTTGTTAGCTTCTTTCCACCCTTTAAACAAAAAAAATGGCAAAGTCACAAAAAAGCACAGGCATTTCAGCTCTTCTGAACATGACCCCAGCGTTTCAACCCTGAAGCTCGTCGCTGACCCGGCTCAGTCGTCCGTCTCAGGTTCCGGGGTCCCTGGGAAGATTCACCAGAGCTTCGTCCAACGGAGATACTGTGGATGGTTACAAAATTCCGTGCAACGCACCGCCGAAGAATCCCGGGAGACTGATTCGATTCTCCTGCAAATACCACCAAATCCGGGTTTCTGATGCGATTCTCCAACGTAAATACCACCAAATGATGGTTTCAACCATGGTTTCAAAGTGGTGCGAAATGGAGTTCGCTTTTCCATCCACGGTATCTTTCAGCTTCGGAAGGCAGTGGTTTGGTTCGTTGAGCCTGTGCCCAATCTCTAACTTTCAGATCCTAAACTCACTTGTGCAGCGAGCCAGCAATACAAGGTGATCACCTTTTCAAGCCGGTCGATTCGCTTTGGGCAAGTGAGTAAATAAATATCAGCGAGGTGTCCGGCAACCTCCATGGCAGCAAAAGCACGTCCCTGTGGTCCTCGTCGCTCCAGCCGGGCTGGGAAATCTTCTGGCTGCTCACATCTGCCTTGTGAACCCACTTCCTTGGCTCATGCCGAGAAAAAAAACTGTGTGTTCTAGGGTTGGTTCCCGTATGGAGGGGTTGAGAAATATGGCCCCTTTTACACCCTGCTGCCGAAGAAATCGCCTTTTTGAGCGAGTGCTAAAACAGGCCCCAATTTGGACAACCCCCATTGATGCGTTCAAAAAGCAGCCGTCTCCCTCTGCTTTGCAGCTTCTGGAAAGAGGGAGCATCACTCTCTCTAAGAATGGGCAAGTTACACTTCATATGTGTCAAAACCAGGGGCCTCTCCAAATGTTGTTTTTGCGAGGCACATCAAGCCTGACTTTGGTGCATCATCATTTGGCTCGGCCAAAAAGCATGACTCAAGGTTCCTTGACCCCTACCTCCAAACCAGCTAGACTCCCAATGACTTTCTTTGTCACTCGCTTCCTGAGCGGATTGGTCAAAACCCAAGCGACTCAAGCCGCGGCTTGAGAAAAAAACCATTGGTGGCCACTAAAATGACACCAAACAAAGGTTAACTAAAGCTTGAGGAACTCAGGAAGCGCGTGATTCTGATGAATCCGAGCCCATGGCAACGGGTCCGAAAGGTCCGAAAGGTCCAAGGGAAGGGAGGGGTCCAAGGATCATGTGAGCTCCGAAAGGACCAAATCCTCGGTTCCCAAGGACATGGGAAATGCCGCAAAGCTCCAGGGATCGCATGAGGTCTTTTTATTTGGTCATGATTCTGGTATGAAGGGTAACTATGGTTCTCATGATCAACACATGGCTTTAAAGTGGGTTAGTCAATATATATATATATATAAGAAAATAATAATAATAATAACACACATAAAAACAAAAAAAAACAACACTATGTTGGTGGTAGTAACATCGGGGGAAGCTCACCCCCAAGATGAATCCAAGTAGATTTTCTCAGCCAAACCCCTGGCGTCTCGAAAGGCAAAAGCGCCAAGTGGCGTTGGGCTACTGCAGGAATAGTCTTGGCAAAGCCTGGCATCGGGATCGAAATCCAGAGGTCATGCTGAATCCTCAAGGTCCCAAGAACCATTGATGTCTGCAAGACCGCCCAACACCCTTTTACTGTTGGTTCTGCCAAGTTATAAACTCATGGATTATTTAGACTGAGACCAGGCAGTAGACATACTAAAACTGCTCATGAGAATCGGTTTTGGGTGGTGCTCACTTGGCGTTTGTGGACCCTGAGTCCCTATTTAGTGGCGATTCCTTTCTTCCAGAGGAGCCCTTGGTTGACCACGGACCCGCCCGTGTATTTTTTGAATTCCCATACACATATATATATATATATATATATGTATATTTATCTATATATATATACACATATATATATATATATACACATAAATATATATGTAGATGTATATATGTATCTACATATTCACTTATTTATATACATCGCCTTCTCGGGGCCCTGGTGTTTCTTTTTGAGTTCTCGCCTGCTGGGACCAGGCCTCCCTGGAGGGCCTGGTGTCGTGTTTGGATTGAAGCCTCGTTTCCCGCCCCATGTGAAGCAACAAAAAATCACTCCAGCCGGGAGCCTTTTAAATGTCCGGCCCCAGGCGGGAAGTCTAACAAAAGCACACCAGGCCCGCGAGCGAGCCAGGCCGCGATTCGAAGCTATGGGAACTCAAAGAGAGTCTGGCGACACTGTGTCTCTCCTGACTTCCAGGACTCCGAAATCCCAAAGCCACAAAAAGGGTGGAGAAGCCAAGGGGAGCCATGTGAGGGTGGAGATTGAATTCAGACAATGGCTTCGGATTGGCTCTCAGAGCAACCCTGTCTGTTGAAATTCCCTCCCTGGCCTCCAATCAAAAAGAAGGCCCTTGTCGGCAGTCCAACTACAATAGCGGAAACACAATTGTCTCAAAATCGGGGACCCTCAACAAAAACTGGCGACCGTTTCCTTTTGGGTTCCTTTTAAAACCGTATCCCAAAACGAGCACCAACTCGTTAAAGCAGACAGACCCACACGGCACTGGACGGGGGGGGGGGGGAATGAGACCCGAGGATTTTCGGCTCCGCCTGGGCTGGCAGCACTCGTCGTCTGTGGAGCCCAGGCGCCCAGCACCCGGCTTCTTCTCCCTGAGGTTGGGAGCTCTGCTGGCCGTTTTCCGGGCACGGCGCCCGGAAATATAACTCACCTCTTGAGCAGATGGCCCCCAAGAACAGTAACTAGGTCCTCCAGTGGAGAGGTTAGAATAAGGGTACCAACTTTTTTCTGTAGTCTATTTTAGTAGGGGAACCCTCCCCCAAAAAAGGGCAAAAGGGCACTACTGGGGGCCCTAGGTAACCAAAGTTGTTGCGCTTCCGCTAAGATGGTCCAAACCCAAAAAGCTCATAGCTTTCGGAGAGGGCGCCACCGCACGTTGTTCACAACCCTTGGTACGGTCCGAAAAAACACGTCCTGATTTGTGTTGCAGCCCAACCTAAAAATGAACAGAACCAAACAAGAAAAACTGGCCAAGAACAGTGAAGTGGATGTTCGGCCTAGGAAGCGGTTAGGCACCCCACTGAACCGGGGACTCAAAAGTGGGTTGGAACCTAGATCTGAAATATCATGGCCTTTCACCCCCAAAGACCTCAAACAGGGTCCGACCCTACAGACAGCTTTTTACGCTACACGTCTCCAGGAAATTGCCTACTGGAAAAGGACAAATACCCAGATGGCAAAGACAAAAAGGGTCACCTTTGTTTGGCGTTGCAATTTTTGACGGGACTTGCCCGGCTCCCCAAAACACACAAAACCATGAACGCTGAAAAGAGGACATGCCGGTCAGGTCTGGAGAGCTTGTGCGAGACAAGCAAAAACCCTGTAAAATATATGTGTTTGATAATTCTCCCCCGACAAAATGCTTCGACTTCCATGTTCATTGGTGGGATTGGAATTCCTCAGGAAACAGAGAAGACCCCAACAGCAATCAAGGACTCAGACAGTTCAGCACAACCTTTCGGTCTGCACCCCGGCCCTTGAAATTTGGCCGAGAATCAACTTGGAGCTGTTGCAGGTGTGTGCCTGCAGCAAGTGACAGGAACGGACAGCTTCCAGGGGTAAGTTGCAAGCAACCAAGATTACAAACAAACAAAACCACGGAGAAGCCAGCCCCAGCCCCTTTCCGGGGTTTTCCAGTTGAGTGTGCCCTAGGAAAAACATGCCGAAGTGAGCTATCCCAAACTAAGGTTTGGAGCACCGAGCTCTTTAGACCATGTTCGTCCTTAGGAAGCCGCACTTTCCATGTTGAGTGTGCGGCCTGTTTACAACCCCTTTCAGCGGAAGAGCAACCCGAAAACGCGCCAGGTTTGGGTGTGGAGTTCCAGACATCAACCCCAAAACTACGGGTTTTAGTTGACCAACATGTTTCAAGTAGTTAGCATACGTTTGGGTGGGACAGTGCTGCGTTTCCTCCCTTTTGGGCAACCCGCTTGATTCATCTTTGGGGTTCCGATTCCTACAAAAAGACGAGCCACCCATATGGGTGCTTCAACTGTTCAAGGTGACGACTGACTTCTGAAAAGTGGATGCTCTTTCACACCGCATTGCAGCCAGTGACCCTCGCGACCATTGAGGGAAGTCACCAAACAGAAAGAACCTTTCAGGGCCTGAACAAGTGGGTGTGTCTGTTGTTTGGATGGTTTTCCTTCTAGTTTCCCTTTAAGACCACAAAAACGGGTACCCCCAACAAAGTCACACCCAAGCGGATTAAGACCCCAACCCGGTTGCGGAGTGGCATCTGAAGCGAGCCATCGGCATGTCTGACGGTTCGGCCTCCAAGTGCAGCCGTGTAGAACCCACGTTGCATCATTCCCAAGCCAAGCTCGCCTGCTCTGACAATCCTAACAAGTCAGAAGATGGTTGGTCACTGGAAAGGTAGCAAATGGACAAGAGGCAGGCACTTCATGTCTCACATGCTACCTGTACTTCATCCACCCATGTGACCAATTCTTGGCGCACGACGATTAGGAATCCCTTCAAAAAGGTTCAAGCCCTTCTTTCCTCGCTTCCTGAGTGGATTGGCCAACAACCAGTAACCGAACTTTGTGTTTGCCACTAAAATGGTCTTCAAACCCAAAAAAAGGGACTGGTGACTTTTTGTGCGAAACGGAACTCACAAAGTCAGATTCCCTCCTATTGGTGGTTTGGAGCCCGGTGGTTTGGTGGTTAGGGGGTGGTTTCCCATCTACTACAAGAACCAGGGCTTCAAATCCCCAAACCAATCCAGTTTCCCATCTACCCCTACAAGAACCAGGGGTTCAAATCCGAATCCAAACCAATATCCAAACCGCCGATTTTGCGCCCTTTGGCCTTGTGTCCGACCCGCCCGTTTTTTCCCAACGGCCCAACGGCCTGGCACAGGAGCTTCTCGCAGCATAGCTCGCTCGACGCGCCTCGCAAGTCTGCGAGGCACACGCCGCGAATCCGCGAGGATCCAGCTTGGATAAACCAAACGCGGAGGGATCCTTGAGTCTTTGACACTTAGAAGAAACTTGCAGAACTTACAAATGACTCACTCGGAATGATGACACTTATAACTTGCTGGTTCGATAGGCAGGGAATGTGACATGAAATGACCTAGAGAAAAACCATGTCCAACTGGTGGGTTGCTTTGAGGGACTCCCCTACCCGGAAGGTCATTCCCTGCTGAGCACCAGCCAGACAAGTAACTTACAGAACCTACAAATGACTTATATCTCACAACTACTGTAACTTGAAATAGCTACAGTCTGCACTCGTTTTGGGAATAAACACCTTTAACTGCTTCATTGCTGAGTGTCTGTTGTGTCCGCAGAAAATGAGGCGAACAAACTTGACACACGGGTGTCCAAGCGTGTCCGTGTGTGTGTGTCTGCTCGTGTCTGGGGCGTGCCCGGTGTTGCGCGTGGCCTTCTGGAACCTTGTTTAAATAACTCACCCTGCATCTGCAAATCAGCTGTCCCTGACAACCGCGACCTCACCAGGCAAAGATCATTCAAAGAACCGTTTTCGACCAACAAAAACAGGAGCATTCACAAAAGCTCCAAATGCAGACAAAACCATAAGCTCTAGCGAAGTATCTTGGCCTGTTTGTCGAACTTACTTCCATGTAAGCCGACTGACTTTGACCTGGCAAGTAAGTATTTGAACACTTATCTGACTTAGCCCCAATTTGCAACCTATGTTGCCGTGGCTATGACATATTTTAGACATACTTAAAACTGTCATGACTAAGCAATCCCTCCTTTGTATGTAGAGTCCACCAAAGCAAAACCATGGTACTGCTTCTATATGGTCCCATACTGACCCTTGAAGCATGAGCTGGTGTGTTGGTAAGGGACATTGAGCCCTTGCCTTGCCGGGCCGTTCTTTTCGGTCAGCCGTGGGAGCTCGGCAACTTTGAGATCGACACGGGCACGGCCGAAGCAGGTAGCTCGGTTCAATCAAACCGCGCTGCCAGAGGGCCACGTGCAGATGCAACGGGCAGGCACCGTGCCATGAGTGCTGAGAAGTTAGATGCATGTCAGTACTTTCCGTGCATATCTGTCAGGTTGCAACGTTGATCAGTTTGGGTGCCATCCACAGCGCTGCCCACAGCTGTGCCCGCAGCCGCAAGGGTTCCGGCAGGGTCCGGGTCTCAAGTTTCATGACCCATTATTTCGCATCTTTTCACCCATCCTTCTTTTCAGCAACAAACAGCTTCCCCGTTTGGTGCACCTGTTTTGACAAGAAGGCATCCTGAATGCGGGAAGTACAGCTACCAGGTGCAGAAGTGGGGCCCTGCATGCGGTTCCCTTCTCCGTCTGCCCGCCTCTTCGCTTGTCGCCACTCTCCAGCACCACGCTGAGGTTCAGCCACTGCGTCTTTGGCGCGCAAGTGAAGTCCTGACCGCTTCGACCACGTCGACCGAAACGATCGGCACAAGTCGGTAGATATTTCGGGGTTGATTAAAAGGTTCGATCAACCTCCATTTGGGACCTGAGAAAGGGAAAATCGAGGAAAACCAAACTTGGTTTTGACCTTTGTGATTTGATCCTCTTGAGTCATAGAGGCTCGGAGCAACCTAGGAGATTGATGCAGATGTGGAAACACCGTTGGCAAGCACTCGGAATGGCGTCAAACATTTAGAACAAAAGCCCCCTTGCATGTGCAATAGCACTCACACACACACACAACACATACCGCAAAAAATGGCTCCATTCCAGGGCTTCGCAGGAAGGGGAAGACCAGCCCAAGCGGCCCCGAGCACCCGTTCTATCCTTGTGGGTCAAAAATGGGTACCCGATCCAGGTAAATGGAAAACAAGGACCAAAATCTGCCTTGCCAGGTGGAATTCTGACTACAATTTCAATTTGGCCGCTTCATTACGGACCATTGAAGAACCAACAGGTGTTAAAGCCCGCCAGAATTCTCTTGCCAGCGTGTCTCACGAATTCAGCTAAGGCTTAGGGTGTTCAACCAACACCAACTTTTAGTCTGAGCTCGCAATCGGGGAAAAACAAAGAGTCGTAAAACGAAAACGACAACAACTCGCCTCGGCCAAAGCTTCAACACCCACGGGAATGTTTCAACGTTTCCCCGCATGATGCGCCCACGGCTCGGCGGGTGTTCGGTGCCTCGCAGTATTGAGACTCGCAGCATTCCAGGAAAGTGCTCCCCGGGAGGCTGTCCTGATGGAAATCCAACGCAAGAAATGAAACTCACGCACCCGAACGGAACTGGCCAAAAAAGAAGCCCGGATTTGTCATTTACCACTAAAATGGACTGAACCGTCTAAACCCAACAAGTGAGTCCAGGCACCCAGGGAGTGAGGAAACATTATTGAAACAGCATCGCAGGGTTTCCCAAGGGGAATGAAAAATTGGGAATCACCATAATCATCCCCCTGGAGCCCATGAGTAAGCATCGCCCTGGAAACACCTAAGAAAACCTGGCCAAAACTGACCCACACAAGGTAAGCCTCGAATGGCTTGTGTCCACAGTGTCACTTGGTGAGAGGCAAGAGTCTCCACTTCAGACATGAGTATGTAACGTTGACCGCAGATTAATCAACTCCTGGTTGATTCATAGGGGTGTGTCCCTTTTAGTGGGGTTTCATCACTCTTGGAGGGAACACCCCCAAATTACTAGGACGGGTTGTACTTGGATCTGGGGTCAACATTACAATGTTGGGAGAGTCGAGCTGGAAGCTGCCAAAAAGAGAAACACTCCAACTAAAGAACGCTCACAGTGGAACTTGCGTACCTCGAAATGGTCGCATTTTTTGGGACACACCGGCTTTCAGGCCGCAGGGTTTGTGTTTGTTTTTCATGCGACGGCGCATGAGAGGTTTCCCCAGTCCAAATTGCAAGGCTTAGGTTTGTTGGTTGCCAGGGGTGTGGACTGCACGGACATCTGAGTAATTTGAGCCCGTCTCTCGCCCGTTTCTCCTTGTCCGCCTTGTCGCGCCAGAAGGGGCTGGTGCTGCAGTTGAAGGTCTTGCAACTCTTGTCCTCGCAGCATTCCTCGTCCTGAAGTCCCGACGGCTCATGGGGCGAGAAGCACCAGAGACACCACCGCGAACAGGACTACCACCAAGGAAACCACCACCAGTATCGCTACTTTGTTGGATTGGGGGAATCACATCAACCAAAAAACCACCAGGTAAACACCAGAAAAAAACCATTGGAAGCTGTAGAGCTCTCCCACGCATGGGAAACCCCTAGCATCTGGCGTAAGGATCCGGACTCTCGGACCCAGTCTTCCCAGTCCGTAGAGGTGTCCTTTTAAGGAAAAGCAAGTGGACACCCTGGAAAACAGGGCTGGCTGGTCGAATGGAAAAGGGAAAGACAGGCAAAGCAAAGAAGCGAGAAGTGAAAAGGAAAAACTTAAGGTTTTGCAACTCATTTCAAGACACAGTCAATGCGGGACACTTCTTGCAAGCTTGCCTACGCTGCAAACCTTTGCGCCCCTTCTCTTGCAGCTGACAAAGGCAAAGAACCTTTGTATAGGTGCTCTAGCCTTCCAAACTGAGCCCAGATCACAGTTTGCTTGATCGATTTGCTTTCTGGGTTGGTCTCGAAATTGGTTCATTTCCGTGTTTTCCCCGTTGCACTACTGAAAAAACAACCCTGAACAAGGGTACCCTCCTTGTAAACACCCGCAGCACAAGCACGTGCAAATGCTTTCAAGAAGGATGCTCCCTACAAAAGCCTTCAGCGCATGGACCACTTGAGTCCTGAATACAAGCCTGGTATCAAACTGGTCTACCCAACAGCAGGAGAGGAACTGAAACAACTGCCGCAACTATTTCGAACTATTTGTGGTTGGGACAATAGGCGCTTTTTGGGGAAATCGATGGCCCTGGTAGATTATGAAACAAACAGGTCAACCAGGATCGCCATCCATTTTCTACAAACAAATCAACACTTGCCGGTGCTCAGTAGGGAATGCCCTTCCGGGTGTTGGGAATGAACCGAAAGGGGATTCTTTTAAAGGAAACCACATCAGGGATGGGTTCTTGAGTTCTTCCATGTCTCATTCGCTGCCTATAGAACCAACCCCAATCACAACCTGTGACCCCCCAAAAAGGAAACCAAGGAACCCCCGAAGCCATAGGGAAGCCTTGATTTTGTAGGGCCAGGGCTAAAGAAAATCCCACCGAGGGAACCAGCCAGAAAAAAAAACGAGGCCCGAAAAAACTAAAACCGCGCCGAGAGGCCGAGAAGCCCTGCAGCTTTTCCTCGCGTTTTAGGCGCGATAAGCGAGGGAGCAGGGCCCAGTTTCGATGGCCAGCGCCCCAGTACCCGGCTATGGCCGGTAAACAGACCCAGCCATGGCAGGTAAACAAACATGCTGATCTTAGCTTGTAAATGGAGTCTTGCTTAGGGTACGTACTGGCAAATAGAAAAACATGATGTAGCACATGTTGACTTACCGGGGTTCATACTGCAACGACATGCTGAGAAAATGATATTAAGCTGCATGCCACGCCTTTGTCCCGTGCTATGAATTGGCCTAGCCCGGTTTTCGTGGGTCTGTAAACTACCGAACCACGTAGATAATTTACCGGCTGATTTCCGCTACCCCCGCTTTCTCCTGGGTCCCGGGATCTCACAGCCGCATGAAATCCGATGGCACAAAGGCGTAGCATTGAAAGGGCCTTGAGGCAATGCGGCAATGCCTCACAGGTCGCATATGCATGGATCTGTTCTTTTTTAGGGTAGCTGGCTTAAAGGAAACCGAAAGGAAACCTACCATTTCGGTTTCCCATAGACAAACACACACCCATATCTGAACTGGCAGAATAGGTTTTATGATGATTTGGGGCATCAAATTGCCTCATCATAAGCATGTAGCTACTCCTCTTTGGTTTAGTCTCAAAGTCCTCGAGTACCAGCAATGGCGAGCTCCACAGTGTGGACCGTCATGCTTCCCTTCCAACATCCTGAACCCATCGTCTACCAATTTTATAGGGGTTGATGAGAGCCCCTAGCCCAAGGGTTCTCAGCAGAGAATGAGAGATGGAATGAATAGTTCACTATGGCCCATCCTGTGTGGTTTCCTTTAAGGGAATCCCCAAAACCGGTTCATTTCCAGCACCCGGTCTCGTTGTCACTCCCCACTTCTCACATCACCCGAGCCCAGAGCTGATTTGATCGCCGTGGCTCGTACTCCATGCCGATCCGGCGGCCACGCGTGGTGGTCTCCTCGCAGGTGTACTCGGAACCTGCCGAGAAAACAAAACTAGCTCAGGTGATATCCCCAACAGCATGCGGTGGAACCCTGGTGGAACCCTCGTGGAACCTTGCCTCAGGGCCGCCCCGGACCACCCCGGAGCCTATCTGGGCTGAGACCCCAAAGCTTTCAGCTGTTGGGGGAAGAAAAAAAACGCGGGAGGGCGACGAAAAGCATTTCCTTGCTGGTGCGATAAGGAGGGAATGACCTTCCGGGTTTTGGGACTGAACCCAGGAATTGGTCCCCTTAAGGGAAACCAATGCGGATGGTTTATACGGGGTCATTCCATCTCATTCCCTGCAGAGAACCAGCAAGTTTTTGCTGCTCCCACCGCACATACCAACAGTTGCGTTGTGGGAGGGTATAGTTCAAGCAGCCCTGGCAAATGCAAGACATGCTCTGTCTGTACCTTTAAATCGACACCGCAAGACTTGTTTGGCGGCCCAGGAACCATAAAGAGCCAAGAAACAAAATCAAAGTGGACTTGCCCGATCCAATTCTCGGAAAGCCAGGGGCAAATCGCTACCTTGTCTTCAAGGCTTAAAGTTGCGGAGCAGGTCAGAAGGACCACCCCAAAACCGCCCCCCCCCCCCAATATACAATAGAGACAACTTCCCAAAGCTTGGCTTCCCGTAGGTGGCCGTTTGGACCAGAAACGATGGTTTTCCCTCAGCAAATGGCTTGAACACCATCTGAACCAGTGGAACCCAAACCTATTTTTGACCAAAACTAATCTATAAACCTCGCTTGTTGTGACACAACTCTTGCCTGGGATGTAACGGGGTTTTTTGAGCTGCTCAAATGGACATCCCTCCCAAAACCGCCGCTCGATTCAAGCGGCAGAGCCGTGGCTCGCAGCACTCCGAGGGGGTGCTGCCCAGAAAGCCTCTCGGAAGCGTCAGGTTTCGATGGAAGCTCAGACTTCGGGCTTATCAAATCTGGAGGCGACGACCTTTATTGGGGGGTGGGGGGGTGGGGGTGTGGGATGGGGGTGTGGGGCCAGGGGGTTGGGGTGTGGGGGGGTGGGGGTAGCTTCTGTTTTGGAGGCTACCAACTTTTTTTGGGGGGTTCCCTATCCTGACGCGTATGCTGATGGTGGGGGGGGGGGGGGGGCAGAATTTTGGGAGGGGTAGCTTTTTGGGGGCAGAAAATACCACCTCTGGGGATACCACCTGAGCTTCTTTGAGGGTACCAGGGTTTTGGGTTGTTTCAGAGGGAAACCCTCAGAGGACACCCAAAGGACAATTTTGCAACAAAAAACGAAGGAAACCCAGCGAGTTCCAAAAAAAAACACGTTGCCAAACAGCAATTGGAATTCAGGAAGTGAGTTAACCATTCAGCCCACACAGGCACTTGGAAAAAAACATTCGGATAGGTTGCCTTCCAACTCTTTCGCCCTGAACACGTGGTGTTCACGAATTCTCAACTAAGGGTAATTTGCCCCGTGCCATGGTTCAAACCAGCAAGCTGTTTCAACAAGCTGGTGGTGTTCAACTTCGGGAATCATCTCGATTTGTTTCTACAATTGTGCGGCGTTAACAAGTTGCCCCCCCCGACTGCTGATAGTTGGGTATCCCACACCCAGCTGGCTCACGACGGGGCTTCTAACAGCCCTCCTGCTGCGTGTTTGATTTCTGCTTTCGCGAAAAGCGATGAACATCCAGAGAAATGAGGGGGGGGGGGTCTGCAAATTTTGAGACAGGCCCACCTGAAGCAAGTGAGCAGATTTCCAGATAACCTCAAGCTGCTGGGGTTTGCATTTTGGCTGGCTGTGAGCTTGCGTGGAACTTTTTTTTGGAGGCGCCATGGTGCTTGGTCAACTCACCAGCCAGCCCTGCCAGCCAGCTAGGCCGCAAGGCAGGTGTTGGAGACAAAAAGAAAAGCCTAGGCGAACAGCACAATAGCACAAACACAAACCAATCCACACACACACACACGATACTTCCGACAGGAAGGCGGAAACACTATTGGGCAGGCCACACATGTCTTCAAGGGTACAGTAGCCTAACAAGTCCCAAACCTGATGACACGACAGAGTTGCTCCTGATTCGGTTCAATATAGCTGTGTCGGGGTCTTCTTCAATGTCAACCCTGTTTGGCAAAATTAGGAAACTCCAAAATCAAAGCCCCAGCCTTTTACTAAGCTCTTTCCGGTTGGGAAGGTTTCTGGGGATCCAACGTTACAGCCCTTGGGTTTGGGTCCCAGTCGGCTTCGGCTTTCACGCTTCGACCTCTTGTCGCGCCTGAGCCCAGCTTGGGCTTCCATTGGCTGCTGTTGCAGACCGCTTCTGTGCAGGTCACAGGGGTGCAGCACCGCTCCACTGTGCTGCCTGGAGGCAGGCAGTGGTCGAGGGGATGAGATGGTGAAAGCTTGGGTCTCAGTTCACAAAAAGGATGTTTTGAGGGTTTGGAGCTGCAGGGTGGCCTCTATCTCTAAGTAGATGGAAGAGCCGGCACTGAGCAGTTGGCGGTTGGTTCCTTTGGTTTCTTGATCAGTTTTGCGTGTTTCCTGTTTTCTCCGGATTGAATCCCAGCAAGCACGTCTAGCCCAACGAGAAACACTGGGCAAATGTCTTGAGTCTTGGTTGGCAGGGTGTGCCTTGTTTGCTTTGGATGATCATGATGTGTATTCAGAATTGTCCCGAGACCAGCAAGGACCCCCCCACTGACAGTCCCTCGTGTCGCAGAACACTTCCAGCCCTTTCGTTTATGCTTGGTGGTGGGTACAAGCCAGCAAAAAGCACTGGGGATTCTCACTCGACGATAACTCACAAACCTGGAGTAAGCAAATGAACCGTACTGGGTTCATTGAAGTGACATCCTCAAAATCACCATCAATATGATGTAGTGATTGAAAAGGGAAGCAACCCCCCAAGCGAGGCTGTTCGTGTTTGTGTCTTGTGCGTACGTCTGCTTGCTGCAGTACCCTGCTTGGGTTGGTTTCAAATGGAAACCAGTGGGAAAATCACCATTTGTGGGGCTTCCTATTGCATTCCACCCCCGATTTCGTCAGATTGTATGTGATTGTGCTTTAAGGCTTGAAGGCTTTTGAAGCCAACCTTTGGGACTTACAAAGTGCCCAAAGGCGACCGAGCGATTCCACGCGTGGACTCCCAAGCAAGGCAATGATAGAAAGCCAAGGCCATGCGGGGTTTCAACCGTCGCTGTCGGACGACTCGAACAATCGGAGAGAAGGATCTCCAATAACACCCATGGTTGTTGTCGCTTTTGAGGCCACTTGTATGGACGTGGACTCCTACCTTTCCACGGCAGCCTTGTGTGGAAGGATTTCCCAAGCCAAAGCGAATGCCTATAGTCTGAATCAAAGGAATCACCTAGGGATTCATCGGGGTTCTGCGCAGTGAACTATTGGTTGATAACTAGGGGGTGTCCAAGCTAAAGAGGGGCTCCAGACCGATTTTTCCCATGAAATGTAAATTTATCCTACAATTCACATACCGCATGAATCCATGTGGATTATGGCGGTCGCTGGATACCGAGGGCCGACTCACGAGCTCCCGGTTTTGGCTTTCGGACGCCTGGCAGCGTCTCCCACTCAGTCGACTTCCTTGGCAAACGCCGTGCTCTGGGGACCCCGGCAAAACAGTGGGTGTCCTTTTGGGTTTCCCTGAAAAACCACAAAAAACAGGGTACCCTCCAAAAAGGCCCAAGGTCTTTTGAGCATACTTTTTGAGCAGACCCAAAAGGAGCCAAAAAACTCTTGAAAGGTTCCTTTTTAACTTCTGCTAGAACCAGGGGCTCAAACCCCGAGGCCACCAATCCAAACCACCAATTGTGGGTTACCTGAGAAAAGAGTTGCACCCGCGTAAAGCGGACGCCGTCCCCATGAGCCAGAGCCCTTTGGCAGCCAAAACATGCAGGATTCACCCGCAGCGCAATCACCACCCAAAGCCCGCAGAAGCAGTCAAAAGAGACAACGACAGAAACAGATACAAAGACAGAGACGGGGGGTCCGTGTGTTGGTCCTAGTCCATTAAACAAAATGCTAAAAGAAGAGCAACTGACAACCTAGTCTAGCTGCTATGTGCTGTAACAGGATCGTACCTGTCGTGCCCCGCCCGCCTGTATGAGCTATGTGGAAGACAAGCGTATGCACCTTTCTGAGACCCTCCGTTAAAAGGGGGTCAGGACCCCCCAGAAGGTTTTGCGCCTCGTGCCTTTTGCCATTTTGAGGACCCAAAACGATTGATGCTGGTGTATTCCATGCAAGTAGGCCCTGGGGGTTCAAACCCCCATTAAAACAATGGGGGGCATACGACCAGCATTGTTTACCTAAGGCCTATCTTCTAAATTTGGTCATCCGTTCTTTTAATGGGGGTTGAACCCTAGGGTAGGGGGGTCTGACAAAAAATGCCCATCCCCTTGGGCAAGCTTTTGTGAACATCGCACACATCCATGCTAGTTTGGCTTATTTGCTTCTTTGCTTTGCTTTGTTCCTTATTTCTAGGGGTTGATTCCAATTCCATTCTTTGCAGCCATCGTTCTGTTCAAAAACCGACGCCGTTTCCCCCGGGTTTTCTGGTGGTTTTCTAGAAAGAAGGATCCCTGGGTTCAGAATGGGGAAGTTTCCCCAAGCTTCTTGTTACCCGTTGCATCTAAGGGTCGCGTGCTTGGTGGAGTCGCAAGGCTGCTCGTCCTTACACATCAGCTGCACACAGCACTCCTCTCGGCTGTTCCCCGGCTTCTTGGGGTCGTCCACCTCAGATGCGGCGGGAGACATAAGCAACTTGGGTGTGGGTCAAACATAGGGTAAGCAAAAAAGCAAACCCTTTTAAATGGAAGCAAGGACTGAAACCTGCGGTCCAATTCCTGGTGCCTGAATCTTCGACCCATACCGCTTGGTGGGAGAGATTTGCCTCCCTACTACTTGTCGCTGAGGGGGAATCCCTTGGTATCAATGCCATGCAAACCTTGTCCCGTGGCAACCATCCCAGCAATTCTCATCATCACAGAAAATAACCCTAAAACCTAAAACCAAGATATTCACAATGCCTCAGCTTAAGTGAGAAAGAATCATGTCCTTGATCTAAGTGCCAGAAGTTTGTGGTATAGAATTCCAGGCGCCGCTCCGCCATGCTCCGCTTCTCCAATCCCAGGGGTGACACAGGGACAAGCAAACGCGCACCGTGCGTGTGTGTTCTCGCTTGCGAAATCTGCTCCCCTGCTAAAAGTGAATAACTTTGAGTGGTGTAGTACGGAAAACCCATTAGTGGGCAAAAAGTTAAAGTCCTAACAGCCCTTGGCAAAATGCACCAAAGTGTGTTTCCTCCTCGGGGGATGGTGACACAAGTAGCAAAAAAGAACCAAAGTCCGTGCACGAAAATCCAGTGGCTCTCCTGGCATCCGAGCGACCCCTGCCCCAACCAAACGGCCCCAAAAACCGCCACCCGAATGATGAGGATCTCTCTACGTACTTAGTAGCAAGTCAACTACAGTGTGTGCTACGCCCATATATATATATATGTATACAAATGTGGCCCATCAGCTTTAGTTTTCCCACAGAAAGAACGTCGCCTAATCATAGGTACTCTCTTAAAAACATAGATGGCCCCGGCAAATGGCTTATAAACCCAATCTAAACCAGCGGAACCCATCCAAACTCACCGATCAGAAGGACAGCTATGCACCTATTTATTTAGCATCCAGTTTTTCCTCCCCCGCCCCCTAACCTTCTGCCCGGGTTTTGATGTGGCTCAACTGGGACTTCAGTTTGCCAAGGGCGCCAGCTTCCACTCGCTGGATGGTAAGCACTCCTTGAAGGAGCTGCACATGTGTGGCCTAGAGACGTGCGTGACGCGCATGACGAGCGCGACGCGTGACCCGTCTCTCAGATCACATCAATCCGTGTGAGAGGGATCACCTGGCATGCGTGTCTTTGAGGTTGGATCCCCCTGTTTCTGTGCTTGGGGTGTTAGCCCGATGTCTTAGGTTTCCTTATGACATGTACCCAACAATGGCCCCGACATTTGGCCTAAATGTGTATCCACAATTGCTAGGGTATAATGCCATTTGCCGGTGTTCCAGCAAGCGACCTGTACCTCGAAAGCATGTTGCGCGATGTTGCGATGTGCAGTCATGGCAACAGAAGCCAGAGCAGTCTAGGCCTACACATAGCTTTTAATTAAGGGCGATCAAGACCAACTTGAGCATTGTCGGGCTTCTATCAAATATATCCAAATAGAGTTCCACCAGCACACTTTGCATCTTAACCAAAGTTGGGCATGTGTGTGTGTGTGTGTCAGAATCACGCCTCAGAAAAACACACCATCGATTCCCGCTTGGAACAATGCTGTCACCCGCGCCTCAGGCACAAGTTGCTGAGGACCACATCGTTGTCCGTGATCACTGAATCCTGTCAGGTCACAGAAATATGTGCGATGCTCCAAAATCCTCTCAACATCTCTCAAGATCTCCTTCTGCTGGAAAAAAACAAGACATGTTGGTGTCCTTTCAAAAATTGAGAATTTGTGGGCTAGTTAGCGCCCAAAAAGACCTGCGATGCTTTCATTTTGGTGGCAGCAAAGCTTGCACCTTGGCACTGGACTATCAAAGTGTTCTTTCCACTAGGTGTCAAGCAGGTCCAGGACCTCCCATTCAAGAGTGTTGGTCGGGTTCATCCAGCAAAGCTGCAAAACATCGGAAAGTATGTCGGACTCGGTAAAATATTCAAGCAAACCAACCACATCCAACCACAAAGTTGGTCTCCTGAGGTCTACTGGTGCAATGCTCTTCGGGAGTTGTTCCCAATATGTGCGACGACCCGAGTGCAATAAAAGAATTGAGCGTGCGCAGGCGGCGAGGATTGTGTTTTGCTAGAATGCTTGACGTGAGCAAAGAGCAATTTGATCTAGAACGCTCCTTTGTGTTGTGAGGACCCCTTGCCTCCGGATTTGCCCTGTACTCTGGAAAAATGGACCGAAACGTGACTTTTTGAGTATCTAGACAAAGCAAGCTACATACATGTATATAGACTCAACCATGGCCATGATTTCTCAATGGGAACCTAATGATTGCTGAATCCCTACTGAGAAGCTGATGATGTAGCAGTGGGCATATCCTCTCCAGGGTGGGACGTCTGAAGTCTCCACGCAGGAGCTGACGACAGTACTGGGTTTGATTCCTATCCAACGGGGTTCAAGATCTAATTGTTTCGCTGGTGTATAGGGAAACCAAAAGGGAACCACCGATCAGAGTGGCTCCATCTTCTTGAGATAAGGCCAAAGGTGCAGTCTGCCGACAGTTGCCGTGTAGGGCCTCCCTCTCTCGCTGTCGCTATAATGGAGCAGGCGGCTTGCTGAGGACTAATGGCGTGCACTCAGTAACGTTTGGCCTTGGTACTCCAATCTACTGGGAAACAACGCACCCCTTTTGCTCGATAGCACTTACACATGGCTGGACTCGGCATACATTTTGGGCGGGGTACTCCCGCCGCACTTGTTTGACAGCCCTCAAACTTAAACACTGCCCTCCTGCTGGCCCCATCATTTTGCCACAATCAAAGTCACCCCCTCTCTGACAACCTGAAACGGTCAACCTCATGACTGCACTAAGGGCGATCACCAAAAAAATGTCGTCCATCGCCCGCCTCGCCCCTGTACTCAAAGCCACTCTCATTGGCCAAAGACTTGACCTCGGCGCCCATGGGACTCCACTGCTCTTGGGAGAGCTCGCGGAAACCGAAGAAACGCGCGGCGTGGACGTGCCATAAACCGACCAGACTCCACCAAACGAGGGAAAAGCACCACAGGTGGCCGTGCGGTTACATGCGGCTACATGCGCGTAGCTCGCGGTCTATGTATGTCATTGTGGAACTGTACGTGTCAGCTAGGCAGCGTGAGGCGCACGGCATGCAAGTCACAAGAACCGCCAGGGAAAGAGCAAGGGCCCCCCCCATGGCAAGCGTTCTTAGAACTTTCTTAGGGGTTAAAAATATACAAACACCTAGGGCCCCCCACCACTTAGGAAGGGTTCGTAGAACTCTAACGGAATGTCTCTCCTGCGCCACGCTGAGTCGTTCGCAGTGTCAGTGGCGTTCAGCACCTCGTCTACGACACCTGGCCGGCTCTCTCGACCGTCGGCTTGGCTCAATGGAAAGTGGGCGAGGCGCTTTTTTGTTGAACCCAAAAGCGGGGTACCCCTCGGGTCGCACCCTGTTTGAGATTTGCGGGTAAGCCATCACATGTCAGGTCTTGGGACCCTCAAAAGACCGAGCCGCCCAAATCTCCATTCGGAAGTTGTAACGGAATCCACCCCTGGTTCTCGACAGCGGCCGCTTTTGGGTGCTGGCGCGTGCGCATCTGTATGTGGCAACAATGAGCTGGGCACTAGGAAGGGTCCAACCACTCTGAACGGGACACCAACCGCCCTCAAATATCAACTCTGTTCGAAGGCCTGAAATATGAGAAAAGGAACGCCCTTTAAAGGAATACTCACCCGAAATCAGCCCAAAAGGCGGAGAAACAGGCAGGTTGAGCAAGATTTGTGGAGGCTTCAAAGCAAGGGACCCTGAACAAATGCAATCGAGTTCCTTGATTGTTTTTTTCTCCGTGAACATCCGTTCAACATAGGGATCCCCATTAGCAAGACCCATGAACATGAGCTTTAGTGGAATACCTTCTGGTGGACTTCATTTGAAGGGATTGTGCCACAGTCACCTAATTCGAGAATCTGGACAATGGCCATACTTCATTGTTTTTCGCAAACCGGACATGAGGAAAGTGCATTCGGACGTGATCTTTTTGTCAGGTGACAGCTCCGAGCTTCGATCCGATCCGATCCCTTTCCCGAAAGGCGGGGTTTCCGAAGCCTCCAGGCACTGTGAGCGTCAAGAACCCGTGGCCCCCGCCAGTGAAGGCAAAGGTCACGGGCTTCTTCCTGAAGCACCCAGTGATTCCATTGGACCCTAACAGACTCAAACTTTAAATGGGTTATTGCCCCAAAATTATGGGCGGTTTGAGGGTCCATTTCCCTACTCAACCAAGGGAACCGGTTGTGTTTAAAACAGCCCCCTCCCCAAATGGGCCATAGTATCATAGACTAAGGGCATTTTGACCGAACCCCCTCTGAGCCTTTTTAGAGATTTGTTTTAGCGGCAATATTGGAGAAACACCCGTATACATATATATATATACACATATATATATATATATATATATAGGTACAGTTATATTTATCCATATATCCACTGATTTTGGTTGAGATGTCCATTTGAGGTCCAGCAAACACGAGGACGAGTTCATTCAGAAACGAGCGAGCGGCCGAATGGGGGTTGGGAAGCCCAAATCTTGCTCGGCTGATTGGGCCCGTGTTTCCTGTGACATCCCAATCCCCTCTAAAATCGGTTCTAAAATGGGTGGTGCACCAGTGCACCTACCCCAAAATGGGATCCCAAAGCGGTTTTGACCACCACCGCCATATCCCAACCGCCATATCTCCCCCGCCACTCCCTCCCGCCACAGCCGGCGGATCGATCCGTCGAACGGTTCGATCGATCCGTCGCCACTGTCGACCGCCTCAAGGAGTTCGCCGTCACCGAGAGCTCCCACGTCCTCCCCACCACCCAGAGCTTCGAGGCCTGCGATCCGCGCGGGACCGGCGCGACCGGCGGGACCGTGCGGTCCACCCGAACAAAAAAACGTTTTGCCATCGGGGGGAGAGATGCAGGGAATGAGACAAATGGAAGGACCCCCCAACAAAAAAACCACTTGGCTGGTAGATTTTTTTTTGATTAAAAACGGACCCCTGGCTTCATGCCCAAAAGGGCTTCCCTGAAAAAGTGGCTCACTTCCGGAGATACTGAACTTTTTGTGTACCACGAAAGGGGTCTTCCCAAAAAGTTTCAAGTCCAGAAACTCAGGAAGTGAGAACAGGACACCCATCAGAATCTTTTCCGGACCCCAAAAATGGCGCAACGGTGTTCCTTGTCTGGACCCATTTGGCTTCCCTTTAGCAGCTTGGTTGCAATTGGTACTTAAAAGCCAGGGCTTCACATCCCCAAACCAATCCAAACCACTGATGGAGGCTAACCTGACTTTGCAGCAGTAAACGTTAAACAAAAAGCACACGCAACCACTCCAAGTGAGCTCTGGAGCCTTAGTATTTACATGGGGGAAACTAACAGAAAACGGAATTGCCATGTCAAACCTCGCAGGGCTTCCATAGGTGCAGCTTGGGATTCAGGAGGCTGGGCTTCGTCCCCATGAAGATTTCTGAGCCATGGTCAAGACTTGGTTTCGTTGGCCTATGGTCATGGTTCTAAATGAGGAATCTTTTGCTAAGGCTCCTTACTACCTGTTAACCAAGTAAACTGGTCTTTTGACCATGGCACATATTAATATTAAAAAACTGGGCTTTTGCCCATTGCACGATGTTAATACTAAAAACGTAAACTGGTCTTTTGACCATGGCAAATATGAAATTGAACTAGAGGGCTTCCGAAAGGGGTGGGTGTCATGGCTATCCCCGTAGGGACCTCAGGCTTGCCCAAGCCTCAAGTTGTTTACCTGAACGAAAGCCTTTTGGTAGGGGCCCGGAGAAAAACAACCAAACAAAACAATCGGTCGAGGTCGAAAGAACATCCCTAACTAGGCTGGGTCAATTTCCAACTGCTCACTAGGTACCCTCCAGTTTTCAGCACCTATGGTCACCGTCTCGTGCTTTCACTCGGGTTTTGATTCTGGATGTGTGGGAAAACAGACTACGCACAAAAGCAGTTGACGTCCATGGAGATAACCATGCACTATGCTTGGGATGGGCTCAGCGCGCCATGCGGATGCCTTCCACATGCATTGCCTAAAAATATGAAATTGGAGGCCTTGGCTATATAGAATTCAGCTTTCAAAAGCAAGGAAAGGCCGCTCTATATTTTGTATGTCTATTATGATATTGATATCAAAGGAACACCTATAAAACACAAATTGATTTCGCGAGTGCCATCCAGCACTTAAACTTCCAGAGAGCATGGGCCGCTCGAGCAAAGTCCTCTCTCTCTCGGGCACCAAACATCACCCCGAATGCGAATCCAGGAAGCAAGACACATCCTGGTTTGTTTTTGTCCCTTTCAAAAGGGAATCCTTCACCTTTTGGGAAACCGCTACACACTTCCCAAAGGATTGGCCAAAGTACTCCAAACTTGTTATTTGCCACCAAATGGCCATCCCGAAAAGCTTAGTTGAAGTCCATGATCTCAGCAAGTGAGTTGGCGAGGCCATGGATTTTGGCCATCCGACCAACTAGGACCGACAAGATGCCAAGACGTAGAAAGCAAATGGCCAATCCGGGCCCGTTCAAAAGTGACCTGCCGCCATCGAGCCGACAATTCAGGCACAGAGCGTTGAAGGGCATTTCGAGAAAGTGCGATTGATTCCCACCCTATTGCAAGCAGAAGCCAGCAGAAACCCATGATACCATGCATGGTTTGTGGATGTGTGTGGTTGCTTCGCTACCTGTTACGTTGTACCGGGGGTGGGGGGACCTCCCCAGTTGGATGGTGTTGAAGCCAATGCCAAAAACAAAAACAACGAAGCAGGAAATCCGCCATTTTTTGGAGTCCCCAAATTTCGCCCAGACCTTCAGTGATTTTGGGAAGAAAGGGGGGCTAAACCTTTTACCCGAAAATTCGCCCAGACCTTCCAATCTCCATAGACAAACCTCCCCCCCGTCAGACCCCCCCCCCCCCCCAGGGTTACAAAGCCTCCAGCGCAGTGCGCAGCTGAGCCTGGTCCTCGGCGTTGATCGGCGGTTTGGCGGAGAACAACGCTCCTCAAAACAGTAGTTGTCTGTTGGTGTTTCCGTGAAAAAAACACCAAAAAAGGGGGGTACCCTCAAAAAAAACGGAGCCACCTATTTGGGATTTGGTTTCTTTTTGGGGCCATGTCCAAGCTGGTGACTCAGTTACTCTTTTGTCGAATAACAAAGTGGGAATTCCATCCCCAACAGCATTACGGATCGGTTGCACCCTATACCCCTCGGATGGGACTCGAATGTTCGGATTCGGGGACATCTTAACTGGAAAGGCGACCTCACCAACCCAAACCACCAGGGAAAGTTGTAGGTCCTGAAAGCTCCCTGGGGAACCATGACCCCCATTTTGTTGGCAAGTCAACCGCCCTTCCCATTGAGCTGGGATTCACAACCTCCCAAAAAACGAATCCAGAACACCAATCAAGCTTAAGGGTTGCCTGACACAGCACAAAAGGTCTCGTGGGGGATTCCCTGAGCAAAGTCAATTCTCACGAACGCCCTGTAAAGTCAACCAACAAGACAAGCCAACACACATGTGTTTTTCTAGCGTGGTGTAGTCGCCCAAGAGGTGAAATGGTCACTGCCCATGCTAGGCCTCGAGCCGCTAGTCAAAATTACTCGTATGGTCTACGGTCATGGTTCACTTTAATAGGAATAGTTATAGAGGTTCCTCAACCACCAAACAGCTTGTCCAAACCGCCTAGTTGACTGGCAGGGTTCCCAATCTCCCCCTTTTCCGCAGATCAAACAAGCAGAACATGGTGCTGTTTAAAGCCACCACGCAGGGACATCAACCCCCCCCCCTCCAAACCTCGACATCCATCCCTCCCCCGGCTGAGGTGCCCGACCAAGATGTCGGTGAACTGAGCCTTGCCCAGTGTCTTGTGCGGCCCTGCCGCCAACTCCGGCGGCAACACGTTGCCTGCATTGCAGCAAAGCACAGGAATCCCCCCCCTGCCCCCCGGATTTGTGGAGCTTTTGGTTGATTTCCGGACAAATCAACACGCACGCCAAAAAAGGTTCCCCCTCAAATTTTGAAAGGACAACACACAAAGGCGTGCCCTTTGGTTGGGGAAGCCAAAAGGAAACCGGGCGCCATGTTTGGACGGGTGAATTTTACGGGAGGCCCACAGGAATCGATCGGCCCAGATTGGAATGGATTTGTTTCATTGGGGCCATGGTGGACTTGGGGATTCAAGTGTCCCGAGCTTGGAAGGTGATTTTCCGCATCTGGGTGGGCAAGACTTTCCTTCGCACCATTATCCAACGGGTCGGACACCACGGGGATGCCGTTCTGTACACCCATGGAAACAGCCAGCTGATCCACCCCACAGGTGACTTTGACTGCTTTTCTTTCCAAGGAAATGGAACTGAAGCTCTACTTGGATGGTCTGCGAGGAATCGCTAAATGGCTAGTAACCCTTGTTGTGACCCGCTTGCAATGGTACGTCCGCTGCAACTAGGGTTACTAATAATTTAGCGATTCGTCCCAGACCATCGAAGTAGCTGAATACTCCCAATCCAAAAGTCGAACCCCGAGTCGAGCATCCGATCCTGCCTTCACAAGTTGCTGTGCTGCGCGAGGTCTCGGCGAGTCGAGAACTTTTTGAGCAAGCTTCGGGAGGGTCTTCGCAAGACCCGGCCAGCGAAACCCCACATGGAAGCTGACGTGGGATCCTGGAACACCACATTTTCCTTAAGGGACCAGGGGTAAACTGCTTGGATTACAATCCTTTCTCCGTACAGGATCGGTTTTCCTCGATTCATTTTGCCAGTCAGTGCGGAAAAAAAAAGGCCAGCTTCCAAATATCTGGCTCTTGAAGAAGTGCAGCCAACAACATAAATGATGACATGCACTTCTTTTACAAAATGTTTAAACATGGATCCAAGAACAAAAAGATAAAAGCCGTCGCCAAAGGCCGAATGTGAAGTCCCAACAAAAAAACCTCTGGTTTCGGTGCCAGGCACATGGGCGATGACCACGATCAGAACTTCTTTTTCGGGATGGTCGTTTCATTGGGGAAGCCGTGGGGTGCTGTTTGAAGCAGCTTGTTCAACATGCTGCTGTAGCTGATAACCATGTGGGCCAATAGTTGCTTAACCTCCCCATGTTGCGATAAGAAACCCAACAGGATGCACACGACGCCTTCCCATTCCCATCACACAGAAGGTCCTAGTACATACTGAATTGTGCTTCCTTCCTGCCACTCGACGACAAATGCAAGACGATATCGAGCAGTCACAACAACCCCCACTTAAACACATGCAAACACTAAAGTCACAATCAAAACCTAGTATTTGAATGGTCTACCTAAAACTATTTAAAGAAGTAAAAGGGCGTCCACGCCTATTTCTGCTTGGGACAATCCCTTACTAACCTTCATTTGCCGCGTTTTGATTCTGCCTCGCCTGAAACTTGGCTTACCACGGGAGTCCTTGTGCGTCCCCTTCATGTCCGCCACAACCAGTGGGTGTGGTCACTTTGCAATTGGTCCGAAAGGCGACCAGTGGCCCCTTCAAAGCCAGAAAACCCTCAGAACAGAAGTTTTCCATACCCTTCAGTCTGGTATTCCAAACAAAAATGACAAGTTGGTCTTTGAAGGGAACTTCTTACAAAGGAATCTTCTATGTCCCTTTGGGGGCATCCCACAAAATGAAAGTTTGAGCAAGCAGAGCCAAACCAAAGCTCCTGGGCCCCGCTGCCCGCGCGATCTTTGCTGCCCACGTCAAGGGCAGCAGCGACAGCAGGAGCTGCGGCGCTTCGGGGAGAGTAAACCAACCGTAAACCATGGCGGGTGACCCTAAATGGGTTCCTGACCTGACCTGGGCTGTCCGGTTTTTGGATCCCCTAAAAAGTGAATAACACTTAGTGAATTAAATAAGGTTTCCCCACTAAACACTGAAAAGCTACAAGGCTAAGGGGATGGCTGGGAACCACACTTCCATTTGCGTAAGTCCACTGGAACAAGTGAGAAAATATGTCCAGTAGTGATATTGAAAACCAGGAGGGGCAAATAAAATCATGTCCTTCAGGTGGAAGAACTGGAGCCAATGTAATCGAACCCCGTCTACACTGAAGTCACGGGCTGCAAGCAAGGTCCAGTTGTCGGTTGCCAGGGGTGGCCCTTGGGTCGCCCTTGGGTCGCCCGAGGTGGATGTTCGCAAAACATACGCGAGTCGTTCTCAACCGCATCCAACCACAAACACCCAAGTGACGTGTTTGGACAAATACAGACAGCAGAAACGAATTCAACTTGGTGATGCTCACCAGCGCCATGCCCTGCAGCTCAAACTAATTTGGGCTTTGTGCGGAGCCAAAGGTAATTGGGCAAGATGTCCCCCCAAATCAACCAGAAACATGCCTTGCTTTCGGATAGATTCTCAAAACCTGCCATGAAGCTCCCAAACGGTTCAAGCTTTTGGTGTCTGACTCTGCCACGGCAAACAAAATATGTTCGGAACGCAGGCTCCACATGGGTTCAACCAACCGTGGTTTCATGTGAATGCCTCTGCCACCGGCGCCTAAAACATTCTAGCTTCACGACCCACAAACCCCCATATAATTTCTATCGCACGCGAAGCCTGCTTGGTTCAAAATAGCACTATACGCTTCACGAAATCTGCTGGGCGTCTTGCATGTTGCCAGAAGCTGCGGAATTGTCCAGAATTGTTTTGATAGCAGAAGGCACCGGAGAATGCCAACATTGCTCGTCAAAGTTCGCAAGCTTCCGGAACCTGCGCACGTCAAAACCGGTTGCCCATTCGCTTGGGTCCACATGGGCACACGCACATGGCTCCGCTTCTTGACCACCCCAGACTGTTGGGTTTCAGCCTACCTGTGTCCGCCAATCAACCCATGCAACCAACGGACCCACCGCCCCCCGGCCTTCATTCTGCCCGACGCCCCCGGGAAGGCGGGCGTGGGACGCTCGGGGCTTGAGCCGTCTGGCGAAAGCCGAACGCAAACTCAGGACTACTTACCCCCCCCACAAACAAGATGGCGAGTTCAGCCCGCGAGCAAGAACGTCAGCCAGAAAGCAAGCAATCAGAGCAAGCAAGAAATCATACCATCATGTACTTGCAATGAATGATGCAAGCTCAGAGCCGGGTATGTGGAGTAGTTTTCCTGTCGTTGTGCCTTTCGAGGCAGCCTCCCTGAGCCAAAGCACGGATGCTGTCACCTCAAAAGACTACCTAGGAAGGAAAGAAACATCTGTCTATATACGTGTATATATAGATATATTAACATGCATACATACGCACAACCGCCACATAGGCAACAGTCAGGGGCCTGGTTTTATCTTCACTCATCCCGACTTCAGAAACCAAGCACCCCCTCGGTGGGTTGTGCAGTTCTTCGAAGACCACAAGCCCTAAGAGTTGGGTACAGCAACAGTAGGAGTATGTTCTCTACGTATACGCAGGAGTGTTCGCAGGGAAACCAAAAGGAGCGCAGCTTGTTGAATAGTTAAACACATAGACGCATGAACTAGCTTCGGCCCCCCCCTTCCCCCACACCTTGCCCGGCTTACGACTCATCGCGCCCAAGCCCATGCTCCAGCTGCCTCCAGCTGCCCTGAAGCGAGCCCCCACCTTCCTGAACCTGCCCGCAATTTGCCAAGACTTCACCCACCCTTGAGTTCTCAGTTCTTGGTGTTTCGATTTTCCAGAACTTTTTGTTTCTGGGCTGGCAACGCTGTCACTCCCTTGCCCTTGGACTGTGGCTGCAGTCTCGCCCTAGGGCACTCGGCTACAGCCAGGCCACACCACGCATCCATGTGTCCAGCCCCAGCCCCAGCCCTAGTTCCTTGTGCACCGAAAATGCAGCTGTAGGTGTAGCCCTTGGACTAGCCCCGGCCCCTTGCCCTTGCAACAGGACTCGCAGCTGATACTTACACGCAAGGGAGGCATCAACGGCGTTTCTCGCCAGCTGCCCGCCTCTAAAGCAAATACACAACTGGATTAATAACAAACAATTACATCGACAAATAAATGAACACAAGTGACTGAATCAATACATACCTGAATAAACAGAAACAACTACATAAATAAAACAGCAAAACAAACAATACATACATGGCATATGCAAATCTACAAAGCTCATATTCAGGTTCCCCTTTGGGTGTGGAGACCCGAGCCCGTGGCAAGCTTCTCCAGGATCTCTGCCCGCATTAGGCCGCGGGAGCGGTCCTCCGATGCTGGGCTTTGGACAACACACTAGGTCCTCCAGTAGAGAGTTTAGAATAAGTTGGTACCCTTTTTTTCTGTTTTGTCTATTGTAGGGGAACCCTCCCCCAAAAAAGAAACGGTAACAGGGCACTGGGGGACCTAGCACACCTACCAGCCTGGGCCTCAAAGTAAAGGGTCTCAAAGTAGAGGACTCTTAGCCTCTATTTGCAAAGGAATATTGGTCATGTTCCCCTGTTGGGGGGAATAACCAGTGAAGCAATCCTTGTTCATGTACACATGTGCGCTTCAGATTAATCCGGACTGTACGAGTTTCAGGGGTGCTCCACTTTTAGGGGATTGACTTCTATTTTAGGGGATTCCTCTAAGTATGGCTCTCCGGAAAAAACCCCGAAGTTAACATTATTATATCTACAATTTACTGGATATTCATCATCTTAATTGGGTCAAACATGTTTTAATGGCGGGTTTAGATGTGCTTGATGCTGGTCCATATTCAGTAAACCAATTTTGGGTTTGCATTGCATGGATCTGCATGAATCCACATATCAACCCCTGGTATTGATTCCCTACAGGAAAATAGGCACTTCCCAAACTGGTTAGTTTCCTGTTAATGAGTAAGCATGAGGTTCCGAAAAACATAAAAGATCACAACATAATACCTGTCCCCTTTCAGCGTGCTTTTGTGTGCCATTTAGCACCCAGATTAAACCGAAACGGCCGACACCACTTCTATGAAGGACAGGATCATGTGCTTCTTGCCTTTCTTCTGAAGGCTTGAGGGGTGATAGTGTCCAACCTCACTGCCGCTGAGCAAGAGTACCAGGGAATCCTCCACCCCTACATTCTTAAGGGTTCTTGGTTCCTACAAGGGGTGCAGAAAAGGCGGCTTACCGCGACAGAATCACACGCACGCAAATCCTGGTGGCTTTTTACTGGTACCAGAAGAGGTTCCAACTTGTGCAACCTTGCTTAGCCTGAGTGGATGGCCCAAACAAGTTTCAACTCTGTGATTGCACCCCAAATAGGTTCTTTCAATCGGGGTCTAGTTTGCTACACACGTGCTTGTCCTTTGGTGCAGCCTGGAACCCATTTGCTAGAACCCGCTCAACGGAATCCCCACTTCAGAGTCGAGTCACCCCGGACATCCGGCTTGACAAATTCCAAGACGCCACTCGGGGGCCTCATCCCCTAGAACCGCAATACGTCAATCCGCAAATGGCCCGGTCGTTTTCTCAAAATCGACGTGGCGATTTACTCAGTGACTGAGGCAGCTTCTTCCAAGCGCCTCCGCCAAGCAGCAGCCAACCAGCATGGCGTGCGGTCGCAAAGACGTGCCCTCAGAGATCAGATGCGGGGCGGATCTGTCAAATGGTAGACCCCCTATCCATCTTTGACAGAAAGAACTTGCCTTGATGTTCCAGAGCCCGGGAAACCAAAAAGACAGGCGTTTGGCTGATCCTCAATGCCAAGCCAAAGGAACCGCAAGAAGGATCCTATTTGATTTCAACCGGCCTTGTGCACCTAGGACAAGTGGCGTTCCAAGATTCTCAACTGACTCCAGCAGGCACGCTACATGAAATCAGACATTTGGGTGTGGGTCAATATTCTGGTGTGGAACGTTCCGCGGTGACGCGGACGTCTGGAACGAGTCAGTTACGTAATGTTGGTTGTTCCGGACCTCTGGGAAGACACGTGTGGAGTCCTCAAGCACACTTTCATTTCGTGTAAGATGGATAAATGGATGGATGAATGGATGGGTAGATGGATGGATGAAGCGACCAGCGGCGCGCGCGGCATGGCGGGCCGCGTAAGAAGCGCAGCTACTTACATGGGGCATGTGTGTGTGTGTGTGCATGTGGACTTGGTGGCAAATTTCTCCGCTGCGTCTGGAACACGTCTGGAACAGGTCTGGAACGGGGTCTGGAACGGTTACGCGAGTGTTGCGCTTGGGAATGCTAGCAAGCAGCGTGTAAACATGGTCGTTTCAACAATGTGACGACCGAGAGCGGTATCGAACCGTTACCGTATCGTATCCAACAGATTGCGGCGGGGTTGACCCTTAACATTGACAGGCCGTTCCAAAAACACATCGGTCAACAGGACCGTTGCCCAGCCCTAACCAAAGCTCGACAAGCAAAACCCATCGCTAGCACCTCAGGCTTCTCTCGAACACCAGCTTTAACCCGTATTGTTTGGCAAAAAAAGAGGGGAGCCAATAACCTACCAAATCACCTGACCGTCTGAATCCATAGTCTGGATCAAGTTCCTAGGCAAGGTCTGGAACGGAGGTCTGGAACGGAGGTCTGGATCGCATGTGGGTTCCGGACCCTGTTCCGGACCTTATAAATTGACTCGCAGCCATTTGGAGGGTCATGGGAATCAAAAGCTGAATAGCTTGAAACATGCCATGAATCAATTGAAGCCGTGACTGCCAACGGTGATCAAAGGGTTGGAAGATCGCTCCAAGTGAACAATCTGTGAATAGACAAGGACAGCAATCCTGGCTGATCGGTGTATTGGTTGGTTCGGTGAATGGTTCCCAGTTGCCATCATCCGAACCCCGACTCAACCATCACATGGGCCCAGGAGAACCTGAAACACCTTTCCATCAGAATGATTGGCAGATGTGTGCGTGTGCTTTCACATGTGCCATGGTCAAACCTTGGGTCATGGTCATGTCTCCCTAGGAAGCTTTGATTGCTTGTCTGAAATCCCTCTTCCTCTTCAAGAATCTACAACTGCTCGTACCAAGCCCAATATTACACCGTGGCACACGGTGACGCTAGAAGCTTCTAGCCTGATGCTCTTGTTTCACGAATGTGGCCTGCTCAAGCGGATTCTTCGGTGCAAGCTTCGTGACCATGGTTGTGAAAAGCAACCCTTGTCGTGGTATCACATTGGGCAATCCCTACTACTTTTATCACTTTGAAGGGGGTTGCCCAGTGGTCCCACAAAACCTGAATTTTCTACAACAATGCTCATGACCACCGGTTTAATGGAGAAAACAACATGATGCTTGCAGATTCATGGGGATGTACAAAGGTTTCACGAGGGGAAGCTTAAAACACATGGCACGCTTGTGTGCGCGCGGGGTAGGGGGGCGGGTGCATGGGTCGATGTTAACACCTGTGAAACTTGGTACGTGCCAGAACAGGGGAACCCCAAAATTGCGGTTTTCCTTTTGGCTTCCCTCTTCAACCAACCTGAAAAGGATGCCCTCAAAAAGGCCACAGAAGTGGTCTGCTTAGCCCCGACACCTGCGACCTTTTTGCAATGGCCAAGAGGCGACTCGGAAAAGCTCGCGAACCACCTGAGGTCCGAATGTCGTGAGAACCCCCAGCCAACCCCCACCCCCCCATTTTTGGGACCCGCCAAGCACGGAACCAAGGGACGCTTGTTCTAGCTCGAAACCATTCGAACCCCCCCTACAACAAGTGATGAACATTTGCGGGCGTGGAAAATCATGCTTTGAAAGGCTACCTCTTTCGGCTTTTCCATGGATATTGGATCCATGGAGGGTACTTGGTATAAAAGCACGCAAAGGCCTGACAGCAACTAGACCCAAAACCAGTCACTGCCAATCGAACCCGTCTTCAGGGAACAAAAGCACAGTTGTTGACAAAGGCGTCGTCTTCTACGAAGCATTGCCTCACAGACCTAGCCTGTGCGAATTTCAGCCGATCCCCCCCCCAAGTGCGAGAGTTGCATGCCCCAACCGTGGATTCTACGGCGGGGCTGTTGAACACCTTAGATTGGAAGCCCAATGTTTTTTTCCATGGGAGAAACGTCGAGACCTTTGTTTGGGTCATGGTCAACGGAAACCCCTACCCAGTCGATCCTACAAAGGAAACCCGGTAAATTCAGCCACAGTTTCTGGCCGGTTTACTTGCAAAATACGGCGAACGGGGCATCCGTGGCCAAAAGGACACCTCTACCTTCCATTTGATTTATTAAGCCCACAGGAAAAAAACAAAACAAATCCGTTAGTGCAATCGATTCCCTTCAAAATTAGCAACACAGGAAAATCAATTAAAACCGATTCACAAGGATAATATATATATATATATATTATAAACCATATTTGTTTCAGCAGATGGACGCTACCCAAGTCCACAGGTAGCCACCCACTTGGCCTGGTAGTCCTCAGCCTCCGCCAGCTCGAATAAGACCTGGGACCCATCCATTCCGCGGAGACGGGGAACCCGTCGGGGCGAAGGAACAAAAAAGGGGAAATGATCTGCCTGGAGAGGTCCCGAATTTTGAGCAACACCCAAATTACGCCAAGAGAAGAGATGTCATGCACTACAACAGCCTACAAATACTGAGAATGGGGTCTTTTCTGATCTCCCTCTTGAAGGCATCCGCCGTGCAACTTCTCAAGTTCTTGAGAAAAAGACCAAAACGGCTCTGATTCACGACAAGTTTCCAACCAGAGGGATTCCTCGAGCCACGCTGCAAGTAGTCTTGACCAGACATCTGATACTAGCTTCCAAGGCATGGACGAGCCAGGGGCTTTGCCGCTTTCCAAAAATGGGAGAGGGGTGTGACCAGTGGATTTTTGTTTCTTAGTTCCAGTGTTCCTTCTGTGAAAAGATTCATGGGGAAACATTGGGCCCCCGCCTTCCCGCCTTTCCCGGGCTGTTTTTATGTCCGAAAGCATCCACAGGCAAAGCTGAATCATTGCCGACAGAAGGATCTGAAAACCACCGAAGGACAAGGCACTCTTTCTTGCCATTCAAGATCAGTTTGGACCCATGCCCAAGGGAGTAATATCAGATTGGTACTGCGTAGATCAGGTCTGGACAAGTCAACGTATCCATCCCCTTTTAGCTTCCTTCAGGAGCAATTCATGCTGACCCCGGAAGAATAAACCGGCAGTATTGCTACTGGCCCCCTTCCCTTCCCAAAGTGATGAATCTCAACTAAGAAGGGCACACCCCCTATTGATCAACCAGGGGTTTGTTCGTTCAGGGGCTCCAAGTACTTGTCATGTGAGCCCTGTAGCACCAAAAAAAGGCTGAAAGCAATCAAGCAAACGCATCGAGCCTCCAGGAGTTTCAGGCACGCCCAGCCTCGATGGCGGAAGACAGGGCTGAAGACTGATGCCCCAGGTCAGGATGTAACCATTTGTGGTCGTATGGGGGCTTGCAACTTCCAAGCGACAAAGCTTGTAAAAGTGTGGCAATAGCATCATCACTCAGATGGCCAATTCTGGCTGCACTGGCTCCCTTTAAAGGGGAAACCAAAGAAAAAGCAGACCAGCCTTTTTCAACGGAAGCACACCTTCTTTGTCCTTGGAAGATGGGGGAATCGGGAAAACATGGGCACCTCGCAACGTGTTAAGCTACCAGTCCGAAGCCCTGAAATGGCGGCTAGCTCTAGGATCGGCGAGAATGGCCTGTTTGACACAACAAAACAAGTCATCCCACTTTCCAACGCAATAGGCTTCACTTGGCCACCGCGTCAATCCTAAATCAGCTGTACCTGTGTGGAGTTGATTGCCAGCGTCAACGCAAAGTGAGATGTCTACGACATGTTCTGGGCTGTCTTCGGATCCCCCGCTAAAAGCTTAACTTTTAACGGGTTAGATGGAAATCCCCTCTAAACACCAAAAAGCTACAAAGCTAAGGGATGGCTGGCAGCCACCAAGTGATTGTTTTGCAAAGCTGTTGCCTTTTCAAGGCGAAAGCCAGAAGTCAAGTTGCACAAACTGGCAGAAACTTCGCTGCAGAAGAGCACCCCTCTGAATGCTTCTTGGCAGACCCCCCACAAATATCACTCGGAGAGTGAGGTCTGCTCCAAAACACAACAACCATGCAAGATTCTAGCCACAACACCTGGGGGATAGTCCTGCCACCCGAATAAACCCGAAGAAAAGTGTTCCTTGCCAAACCTGTGACGAAGACGCAAACGCCGGTGACCTCGCAAAGCCCACAAATCGCTCGCCATGAAAACATTCTTGGGGTTTATAACCCTGGGTGTGAAACATTGGGTCCCCCCTGTTTCTTTTCTTGCGTGGCTCGCCGCACGTCCCCAGACCGAACGAGCGGAATCGGCCGTCTCCGAGATCCCGACAGCCCCCAGGGCCGGCGTTGCCAGGATTGCCCTCGCGCGGTGAGAACGTACGCGCCTTCAACGTGTAGTCCGAAGCTTGGTTGCTGCAACGACCCCATCTGCAAGAAGTCCAAGTTTGGTGGCTCCAACGGAACATCCAAAGATTCAACCAAATAGCCATAAAGCTGGTGATTACTAAGCTGCACAAACATTTACCCAATGCAAAATTGTGTGGACCGATCACACGACATCCACCCACAAGAGTTTGCAGTTTCTGAACGAAACAGGTAAGAGTATCAATGCGATCTGCTCCCCTAACGAAAGACCCGATGCAAGCTTCTACTCTTAAGGTGTCGTCTCTTATATTGAGATCCCTCAGATTCTCTCAGCATGCCTATGTGACATATATTGTGCTTGGGACAAAGAATCTCCCTTCCTCCCCAGACCAATGGGACTCCCGATGAATAGGGCTTTGACATACTGGCCAAGGCATCTCCAATCACTTGCCTGCTCTTGCCTCAAACGTATGGAGCTGCAATGCTCAGTGTGGACCTGGCCTGAAACGATTGGTAGGCAAAATCCGTGTGAGTCAACAATATCTTATAAGAAAGGCGACCGGGCCACATGTTCAGCCGGCAGCTAGCGAAGCTTGCGAATCTTCTGCTGGTCATCTGGCTGTAAGATGCTGGCCAGTGGTTGTGCATTGGCAAATGGCCATGGAGCCGCATGGTTTTTTGTGAAGCAATCCTGCAAAAGGGGCGCTGTAATTAGGGGTTCTCCCCCCCTCCCTCGGCACAGCTTGAAGGGTGTGGACATTTTGGTTGCAGCTGCTTGCATGAAAGGAATGCTGAGGGCTTGGTAATTGGGTGACTGAGTGGAGTGGGTGTCGGTGAACATAAAGATGAGGGTGAAGGCAAGGG